CTCGCACCCTCTTTTGCTTAATATGTCAATTCATTTCTAGTTTTCAACTTTGCCCCTACAACCATGAATATTAACAACCAAGTATATAAGTGTTAAAGAAAGAGTTATAAAATTAAATTCATACCAGATTTTTAAAGATAAAATAGAAGGCAACCACTGATCACCTAACATTGTATTGCATATATGTATTAATGTATTTTTGTCATTTTCGTATAAATTTTATGCTCTATTATTGAATTTGATTTATTTGTAGTGATAATAATCTAACAAGTTATCACATTGATCTTCTTTTTCTATAGATATGTAATAAGTCTTTATTAACATAAGTTAATAATATATTTTACATATTAACTCATGATAAATAGTCTTATATTTATTTTTAATAAAAAAAAATATTTATGTGATTGATAAGTCTTCTTTATCATGAGTTACTAATTAATAAATAATATAGTTTTAATTTTAAATCATGATAAATAGACTTATATTTGTGTTAAATTATGAAAAGTGATTTTCAATTGATTAATATGATTTTTTGGCTAATTATGTGATTTTATATGAATTTATATAAATTTTATAATCTTCTTTTTTGAGATAAATAAATAAAAATAAAATAAAATAAATAGAAAAAGGGAGAGACTCGTCAGTCAATCGGGCCCGCAAGTGGGTTAGAAGTGTAGTCAGGGTGGAGCTGCGAGTAGGGACTCGAGTGGCTATGGACCAATGGGGGCACATGTGTGTCACTCCCCTTCCACGTCATTGGTGACCAGCTAGTGGTGTGGCAAGAAGTGGTCGTACACACGTGAGAAAAAAATTCATTTATTTCCAAATCTCTCATTACTATATATGCATCTCAACATTTAGCGTATAACTCATGTAGGATTAAACCGACAGTCACACCTTCCCTAGAACATTTTGATAATTTTTAACACTGAAAATATCTCTTGTTTATAACTACGAGATACCATAATGACATCATTGTATAAAGGTGTTTAAGAACTTATTTTCCTTTCTTTCATGAAGGTGGACAATTAATAAAGGTTCAAATCCTACTAGAACCAAACCTCATATTTTTATCTAATTAAATTTTATTTTTTTTGTAGATTGCTGGTTAAAGATTAAGCCACTATAATTATTCAATCATTGACAAAAATTTAATCAACATAATTCGCAAAGTATTGCTACTAAAACTATTGAGTGATTCGTGATAAAAAGATCACAAATCTATTTAGTAAATCATCTCAGATTGATCAACGAACAAATCATCATCAGGAAGAAGACAATCTATTGAGAGATGAGTTGTCACCTCCTCAAAGTGTACCAAATGTAATGAAGAGCCTTCACTTATTATACAAACCTAAGGATGAAGCTCTTTGACACTCGCCCCACCTCCATCTAACTCATCTTTGTCAAGTCAGTCGCTAGAGAGTTGCAAAGTCACTATTTTTCTACTTTGTCGGGTGATAGTCATTGTAGATGATTCGACAATTCATTTCATCGATCTCTAGGTCGCAAGAAGATTTAGAGATTGTCATGACATCTTTGTCCAAAGAGAGTCTTCAAAGCCATGGACACTATACAACACATTGTTGTTGCGATGTTGGAATTCTTCATTTCATATTTTCAATTTTATTTTCACTTCATTTTGAGATAATTTGTGTGATTTAAAAATTCTAAAGTACTCTTCATTCAATTATATTTTTTTTGCCTTTTAAAAATCTTAATTTGACTAATTAAATTATATGTAACTACTTACATAAGAATCATGGATGAAATTATATTTTCACTTGATTCGTGTTCATTGAGTGATGATGTCATTCTGATGTCCACACCCTTATTATAATGTATTTTTGAGAAAAATTATGAAATATTACTCGATACTATATTAAATCCCTATGATTGATTTAGAAAATTTATACTATTTTAAAACTTTTATTAAATTATAATTGATATATTTATTCAAAAATATTTCTAAATATTTAAAAATTAGTATTTTTTAGTTTTATAAATTTTAAATTTATGTGATTTACTATACAAGACAGTCATGTCAATGGTTAATGTGAATTTATGATTAATTATAGAATTTTATATAATTTTTATATTCATATTTTCAAGTTAAAATAATTAAAAAATTAAAAGGGAAAGAGGGGACATGTTAGCTAGCTCGCACTCAACAATTAACTTAAGGGCAACTATGCTCAAATGGGTGGACCCAAACTAGGGAGGAACAAGAAGCTAGGCTTAAGTGACTCATGGAACCCACATAGGGCACATGTGCGTCACTCTTCTTCTACATCACTAGGGATTAACCAATTCATGGGACAATGTATGATCTTGTCACATCTGTGTGCATGAGGGTGAACCACCCATCTACTCTTCTGCCCATGTGGTCCTTAGCCATTTTGTTTATAGGAGAAAAAAAATGATGGCTAAAGTTAGCCCATAATTATATTGATCTCAAATTCATCAAAACAACAAATGTGAGATTAAAGTGTAAGTTATTCTTGTTGATATAAATAATAAATAATGTTCTTACATTAAGAGAATGCAGCATATTTATTGATTTACTACTTTAAAGGTATATTGATAATCATTTTAAAATCACTTATGTAGCTAGGTAATTAGCGAATGTTTGAATCTCACTAATGCCAAAAATTATAACTTTATTATGTTTTAACATTACAATATTCCTACAAAGAGCTGGTCAATAGAACAATACTCGGAGATGGTTGATTGTCAATGAAATCTTCATCAACGATAATCTAGGATTGTTGTCAACAATTCACTGAATGATTATGAATAGAAAAATTATGAATTCTTAGAAAAAATCATCTTTGGTTGGTCAACAAATAAGTTGTCATCAAGAATAGGGCAATCCACCAAGAGAGTTCTTGGGATATCTTCATAGTGTTCCAATTGTGATATGAACCTCCTTTATTATGTAGACCTATGAAAGCTCTATGAGATGCACTCCACCTCCATCTAGCTCAACTCTACCAAGTGATAGTCATCAAAGACCCATTATCACTAGACTTCCTCTTTGTTAGGTGATCGCCATCAAAGACACTTCATTGACTTTTGTCTTCCCCTCTAGACTTCACATGGGAATCTAAAAAGTGCTTATGATTGATCCCCGAGTGGAGTTCTTTTGTCTCGAAAAAGAACTCAAAGAATATTCTTTGAGTTCTTTTTCGAGCATTCATTGAAAAGAATAAAAAACGATGCATACCTTCTAAATTTATAAGATATTTTTCTTTTTTAAACTCATTTAATATGTAAGTTAATAATAATTTACTTAAATTTAAGTTTCAAAACTCTTCTTTAATCTATTACAATTCATTCAATTACATATCTTGATTTTGTTAATCAAATTATATGCAATCATTTACATAATATCAATGTTCTTATGTCACTAATATTAACAAAACTCTATTTCTCGCTCGAATCAACGCTCTTATGTCACTAATATCAACTTGACGTATGCACCCAAATTTCTATTTTTCTCTATTTTTTAAAAAATTATTATAATCTTTAGATTTAAAAATTATATAAATAGTATTCTTTGAGATAAATTCTTAAATTTTGACTTGATATTATTATACATCTATGTAATCAACTTGAAATTTTTTTATTGTTTTTGAAAATTTTGTTGAATTATAATTGATATATTTTTACAAAATTATTTCTTAAAATATGAAACTATGTTTTCTAGTTTTATAAATTTTAAATTTACATGGTTTAATATACAATGATAAGGTACATGTTCAAAAATGAAAAGTTCTTCCTTGAACTCCTAGAAGAAAAAGAGGAAGTGGAATTTCTCTTTTGATTTTTGCTCCCCCCAATTTGCTCTAATATGATATGGGTTGAAACTTTTCTTTTATGCAAAGCATATTGAAACATCCAAAAGTAACTTACAACATCTATATAATTGTTTGTTTTGAGTCACAACTAGTAGTAAATTTGAACTCTATAGTAAATTTCACTAATGTTATAAAAAGTCTAATAAATTTAAATATCTAAATTTTGATGCATCATTTGTTACAGACTGTTCCTCTTTCAACTATCTTTCCAATGAATATGCATTGCACCTATGACATCATCTTGCACTTAAAATCATTTCATTCATTTCAAATTTGAATATGTGAACTATTTTACCTTTTGAGAATTTTTCTCTTAGATTTAAAACTTTCCATAATAATAACAATCAAGATCATCTAAATATATAATTATACTATTATTAGTTTTACCAAAATGTACTTCTATATATTTATTTAGTTGCACTTATGGTCAATAAAAATGATTATGCACTCATGTGGGTATCATTATTACACATGAAAAGATTAAGGTTACATGATTATGTTGTCATTAATCAAATTAGTAAAGTATTCCTTTATTATAACAGAACTTTTAAGTTTAACTTATCTATGATATATTACTAGGAAACATATTATTTATTCATTCATTAAAACAAAAAATATAATGGGAGTTCAATTATCAACAGTAAGTCCAAGAAAAATGGTTTAGCTTGACTTAGGATGGCTCATATAAACAATGGTCAAGGTTTTAAGGGGTGGTGTGGACTGACCTGTATCTAACGCCAAGGAAAATTAGTATTGGACCGTAATTCTATAAATTAATGGAAACTTTAGAGTAAACATTATACATGTCGAATTCCAGGTGCCTATGAGTCGGGCCTATGCAGGAGGCCCATTTTCAGTATTTGAACCCACAAATAAAGTCGATAGACAAATCTCCCCAGCCTAATCCCGAGACCTCATGTGGAGGATATCAGTCCATCGGGCTTTTATAGAAACTCTTCAGATGGCTTGGGCCCATTAACGGGGTTTTCCCCCGGCCCAGCTCGTCCCACATCCCTGAGGCGTTGACTTTGAAGAGATCGGTGAGACGTCCCGAACTGTCCACGTGACTTCGGGACCGCCACTCGCGTCTCACATCTACTAAAGGAAAAGGGTCGGAAGTGTCCGAAGAAAAAGGAGAAGATGAGGAACTCCGGAAATCCGCCCCCACTGCACGTCCTCCTCTCCTTCGCCCTCGCCTTCGCCGAAGCCGCCACTTTCTCTCCGGCGGCAGCGAGTCAACGGTCGCCGATCCGCCAGCTGGTGAAGGCGAGGGTGATCCCCGACGTGATCAACCTGTTCGTCCCCTCGGCCAAGCTCGAGGTCAAGTACAGCGCTATCCGGGTCGTCAACGGCCTCCTCATCCCTCCCTCTGCCGCCGCCAAGACCCCCTCCGTCCGGATCCACTCCCGGCGTCGATCCCCCGTTGACCTCTACACACTGGTGAGTGGCGAACCGTGGGATTTCGAAATTTTTTTCAGGTGGTGAAAAAAGAAACTTAGCCAGGATTTTCCGCACCGTATATCCATTAGTTACCATGAAAAAAATTGGATCACTTCCTAAAACGTATCCAAGTTCTCTCAGAGGAGTCAACTCTAACCAGAGATCTAGGCCAAACCCACAAATCTCTCTCTCTCTCTCTCTCGCTGACTTCCAAAGGTGGGTCCGCATGCGAGGGAGCTTCTTGGGAAATTCTCCCTATTTATGGAGAAAGATTAACTCCGATAGCAGAGTACATGGCCCTACTATCCATGTATACGTATAAATGATGTGCCGATAATTATTTTTCAAGTGATTGCTCGGGTCTTTGATCTTAGTCAGGTAGATTAATTCGGCCATGCATGCACCCCATAACAGATCGTGGCAGACCCAGATGCACCGAGCCCCAGCAACTCGACTCTAAGGGAAATCCTCCACTGGTAGGCGTTTCATCGTCTTCTTCAAACATTTATCTCCTCCACTCTCTCTTTCTCTCTCTAAGTCACCTCCAAATCTTCTCTCAGGCTTGTGGTCAACATACCGAGAGGCAATGTCACCAGAGGTACATTCAGCTACAAAATTTCCCCCGTTGACCAATGAAAAAAGTCCACGTGGTTTAATACATCGGACACGCTTCCTCCCCAGGTGAGGAGCTGGTGCCGTATGTTGGACCCGCACCGCCCATTGGCGTTCATCGGTACGTCTTCTCGCTGTTCAGGCAGAAGAAGCCTCTGAAAGGGGTGAAGGTCCCAACAGGCAGAGCCCTCTTCAGGACTCGCAGATTCGCCGCCGACAACCGACTGGGCCTCCCGGTCGCCGCCCTTTACTTCAATTCCACGAAGGAGACGACCGCCTGAGGGTCAATCGTCGATCGAGATCGCGGAGATCTGCTCATTGTGTAATAAATAGACTCGATTAAATAAAGCCAGGTCAAGGACACTTGTTACCCATCCACGTCAAGGATTATTATTGCCCATATGACGCGATCAAGCCCGTGAATATGCGGAGAGGATATATATATATAGACGTGGTGAATTAAGTATGGATTTGGATGACGAGAAGACTACCGTTGATAGGCGGCGGGATTAGCTTTGGTTTCTCTTCAGGGTTTGACTTTTAGGCCAGCTGGGGATTTAATCTGTTGTTGCAGGAACTAAGAGAAGACCTGAAGATAGCAAAACTGGCCGCTTTGAACGAGGATCTAACTGTCTTTGATTGCTGTGGTCCAACCGCTCAAATTCACGTATTTTCAGGGATTAATCGTAGACCCGAGCTCTCCGACAGCAGGCGACGAGTTAGATATGGCTCTCTGGTTCTTCCCGCATTCAGGAAAGCCAGTCCTCAGCTTTCATGCAAGAACGAGAGAGAGAGAGAGAGAGAGAGAGAGAGAGAGAGAGAGAGAGAGAACCGAGAAGGTCCCTATCATCATTCTCTGGACCACTTCTTTCATGCACTATCTGCTTCAGCTTTTCGCTGTGAAATGGATCTGAAAGGCCGGTGAGGTTGCAGTGTCAGGGGAAGAAGGAGAGAGAGAGAGAGTGGCTTGGTGTGTAGCTGCATGATCTTCCGTCGATGAACTCTACGAAAGACGAGATCGATTCGGAGATTATTTGAAAAACCCAGCACGATTACTGACAAGGGGCTCTTCTGCAGCAGACTGCAGAGAACGCCGCGGATCTTGTTGCTGCCGTCATCGAAACTGAATGAGCCCGTGGGGCCGCAGAGACGCTTGTTGGTTTACGAGAGAGAGAGAGAGAGAGGAGAAAAGATTGAAACCCGTGATTGCTCCACGCAACTGAAGCCGGAGATGGTACGGTTCGAGGATCTTCCACCCGATTCTTCGCCTTTCCCAACCTCATCTCTCTCTCTCTCTCCAGCCTCCTCGGTATCCTCTCCTGTCTCCGTTCTCTATTATCTGCCGTTTCTGTCTCTGTGCCCAAGCTAAGGTAGAAAACGCCAGAAATCACAGAGACACCAGAGCAGGCAGAGAAAGAGAGAAAGAGAGGGAGAGAGAAACCTCCACGATCCCGTGGGAGACGCGGCCGCCGAGTATGATCGCTCTCGTCTTCTGGTGTAACCGCGAGTTCGAATCTCTTGGGCTTGCCCATTAGTTTACTCGTTCGCCTACGGACGTCGAGCGGCGACCGTCATGGCAGCTTCTGACGCAACAGAGACGGCTATCAACCCCATGAAGACGAATCCCGTCCTCTTCTTCGATCGCCGGCAGCATGGGGAGCTGTTGCAGAGTTTTGTTTGCTTCCCGGATTAGGGTTTCGAAGAACCCGAGAACAGCAGTCTGACGAGTTTCTTAGGCGAACCGAGGAGAAGGAAGCGGACAAGTGGGGGGGGGGGAGGCTGAATCGTCCAACCCGCGTCTTACAGTGGCTAGTAATCAACGGTCGGGTGGCCGTCGTTTAGGTTAAGATTTAACCTTAAAATACTCAGTAACCTAAATTGACGCCGTTAGCTGCTTACTCTCCCACAGTTTGGGGATCGGCAAGAGGAGTATCATGGTTATTGAAGAAGCTTGCATGGGCCCTTGGAGAACACGAAGCGAGTGACAGCTCCCTGCAGCTTCTTTTCCTTTTCCTCGTCTTCTCACCTTCACGAAGCGACGGCTCTGCAAGCAGCGAGAGCGAGAGAGAGAGAGAGAGAGAGCGGTCTTCCTGCGAAGGGGGAGGGAGGCCTTCCCCGTCTTCATTCACCGTTCATCACTCCCTCCGGTGTCCCTACTACAAAGCCAGTAGCAGTACCAGTAATAAAATACTGAACCAGCCGCGGCAGCAGACCCAGCGGCGCCACCAAACCTTAGGAATAAGAAATCTCCTGCATCGTCCTCCGGACTGCACCAGATTCGAGCCCTTTCCCCTCCTCATCCGCTCTCTCTCTACTCGTCTTCTTTTCTGCTCCCAAGAAAAAGAAAGGCTAAAGCGAAAGGAAGACAGCGGAAAGAGGAGCACATGGCGGAGAGGAGGAGAAAGAAAGCAAAGGAAAGGCGAGACACCGGCGGAGAAACCCATCCCCGGCTTTCCCCCCTCGCTTTCCGCTGCACTTATTTCCTCCTCTCTTTCCCCCCGTTAGGGTTTCTGGATTCTGCTCTCATCGGGAATATCTCCTGAATCCTCCCTCTCTTCATCATGGAACCTTTTAAACGTTCGCTTCTTCTTCTCCATCATCGTCACCGTCATCTTCGTCTTCTTCTTCTTCTTCTTCTTCTCATACTCATCTTTATCGCTGCCGCCGCCGATGGTGATCCTCTGGCAATCAACACCGTGCCGGCGGTCCCCCAGGCGCAGTCCCTGGGCAACAGGACCTGCAAGCTCGACCTCTCTCCGGAGCTCTTCGGCGGCGTCGCCGGAGCCTGCGGCGGAGCCCTCGATCGCCGCCGCTGCTGCCCCGTGCTCGCCGCCTGGCTCTTCGCCGCCCATGCCGGCGCAGCCTTCGAGGCGCGGCCACCCTCCTCCTTCTCCGGCCCCGGCGAGCCCGACTCGGACCTTCCCATGATCCCAGACGACTCGCAGAGATGCGTGGACTCTCTGCAGAATTCGCTGCGAAGCCGCAACATCCACCTCGCCGGGCCCAACGCCACCTGTGACGCCGTCCTCTGCTTCTGCGGCATCCGTCTCCACCAGATCGGCTCACTCAGTTGCCCCGCCGCCTTCAACTCCTCCCCCGCCGCCGCCCGCCGCCGCCGCGCCGTCCCCACCGCCGCCGTGCGGGACCTCGAGAAGAACTGCCGCAACTCTTCGTACGCCGGTTGCACTCGCTGCCTTGAATCTCTCGACAAGGTCTCTCCCCCTCGCCGGAAAATTTGAACCTTTTCTTTGATCCACACGACTTCGAAAGCGGATAACAATTTATCTATCGTTCCGGTGTTTGGCAGCTTAAGAGCAGGGCTGCCGGCGGCGGCGGGAGGCAGGGGAGGATGTTCAGCACGGACTGCCAACTCATGGCACTGACGTGGCTGCTGGCAAGGAACAGGACGACCTACATCGCCACCGTGTCGGCGGCGCTGCGGGCCATCATGTACAGCTCCCACACGGCGGCGCCGTACAGGTGCAGCTCCGACCAAGAGAACATGCCGCTGGCAGTCGATTCCCTCCGCTTCGACCGCCACGACGGTTCTCTCGCCGGCGGCGTCGCTGCCACGGCAGCCGTCTTCCGGGCCGGGCCATACGGCTGCGCCGCCGCCTTGCTCTCGTCCTTCCTCCTCTCGCTGTCTGTCCTCACTTAGTCGAGAAGTCGCCATCGCCGTTCGGAGCTCTAGGCTTTATCCTCTTCTTCCTCCGGCTCTGTGTCCGGTGTAAAGATGGCACCTTTTAGCGGATTTGAGGAATCCTGTGCGGCGGTCTCAGATTCTCCCAATGGGTTGTCAACGGGCCGGTCCGGGCCGGATTGAAGCCCATAATATGGGCTTCTGATCTGGGCCAAGGGGAATGGCCCATTAATTCATCTCTCTCTCTCTCTCTCTCTCTCTCTCTCTCTCTCTCTCTCTCTCTCTCTCTCTCTCTCTCTCTCTCTCTCTCTCTCTCTCTCTCTCTCTCTTGGTGGATGATGCATTGTGGTCATGAAGAACATCGAAAAGCTTCACACATTAAACAGAGACGGGCATTGTCTTCGTTCATCGGGAAGGTCAACGGTGAAAATCAGATACTTCTCCCCATAAATCAGGTGAGTCAACGGGTGAAAATCAGATACTCCCTCTCATATGAACGCCAGAAATGGAGAACAGCGGCCAAGCTCTGAGATCCTCAGCACGAGCTCGCATGCTCTCCCTTCAGCTCAGAGCCTGAGCTCAACGAGTGTCTAGTAAATCGAAGAACTCTTTAGACAGACAAGAATCTGAATCTAATTTTTACACCCCAAAACTTCGATTCGATTCGATTCCAAGCAAACATGTTGAGAATCCCCAAACAGACAAGATTGTAAACCCTCTCTCTCTCTCTCTCTCTCTCTCTCTCTCTAACTTGCTCTCAGACCCACAACCCAACTTGTGGATTTAACCCTATTATTGGCAGCATCTGCCATTTCCAGCTTGCTCTCAACAGTTTGCCTAACAGGTGAATCCAGTAAGAAATATATGTGGATTCAGGAATCAAAGTCAACCCTGTGTAGATGAGGAAGGAGTCAGCAGCCGCAAAGAACACAAAGCATAAGCCTTGAGAAGTTACCTCGACTGCCAGGGCTCAAGTCCTCGATGGTCTCATCCCATGGCAAATGGGGCAAGCCACCTTGGCCTCTCTTTCAGAGACACCGGGGTACCTAAACAATATCAAGTGATGAACATGTTCTTATGGGTTAGAAGTCAAACACAAAAAAAGAAGTCAGAACAGCTACTTGGGTCTGAGTCGATGGGCTCCATTCAGTTTATCTGACATTTTTTGCGATGAACAAAGTCAACGATCCATTTTGAAGGGCCACAGGAGGAGAATACCCAGTCATAATATCTGAGTAATCATCCATGTACTCAAGTTTGAGCATCTCAGAACGTTAACTCAGAACAAAGATCAAGTAGACTATCAAAAGGGAAAAGCAACCTCGAAGAAATCCATAGCCTCCAATCGTTCTTACCAATAATAAAATTAATAGAATAATATACCATCGATCAACATGAGGCAGAATTGACTATGATTCCCAGATTTAGCGATTTCCTCGAGCCTCTCCATATGACTCTCTATTTTGATTAAATCAATCATTTTTTTCGCAGACCAATATAATCCCACATACCTTTCAAAGAATCCACAACAAAGTCAACAGAATTTTATCATGGGACAACAAAGTCAACCAAATATTCCTTTCAGGGATCAAATAAAAAAAATGCGATTTACGCATTTTCTCGCTCAGAGGAAGTCAGCATCAGGAGCATTATCCATGATCATAAGATCTCATGCATCGGCGGTCAGACCCAGATAGCAAAACAAATGTTTCTGAGATCGCCTCTCATCATCTAACTGAGTAAAGATGCCCATTAGCCCATGATTCCCCTTCGTTCAACGCAAGGACAACAGCCTAGAGATGACAGGTGATGGGAAAAGCTTTCTGACTATGTCAGGAAAAGGCCATAGCAACCAACAGATCTCCGACTTGTTCTTGCTCGTTCACTGGTATCTTCAGTCATATCAAGATAGTTTCTTCAGAAACATGAGAGGATATGAGTTCAAAGCTTGTTTACGATTGCACGAAGGGGATGAATGGGTTCAGTAAAGGGGGAAGAAAGAAGAAAACCTACCACTTCTTTACACAAGTCATGCAGAAAAGCACCTTCCTGCAGCTGGAGCAGCGAACCAGAGACTGTGTGTGGGTCTCCTGGCACAGCTGGCACGCCCTCTTCCTGCTCTTCTCGCCATGGATGGTTCTTCTTCCTCTGGAAATCATCTACAGAGAAATAAGAGGTTAGGGTGGGAGGGGAAGGGGGGAGGGAGGGGAGGGGAGGGAGGATTGAGGAGAGCAACAAGAAACAGGTGGATCCTTGTGGATGAGGCTTACTGTCGAACAGCGCACGGGCAACCACACCTGAGCAGACGCCACCAGAGGTGGCCTCTCCACATTCTTCGACCGGAACGGCCAGCGCAAGAAGGAGCTCGTGCCCAGCACCAGCTTCCCCTCGGCTGGATCGCCGCCCACAATGTCCGGAGACATGATCGGAGCAATGTGCGACGAGGAGGCCACATCATCGGCAACCTCTCCGCGCAGATCGTATGTATCGTCCATCGTCGTCTCCTCCCTCTTCCTCTTCTCCTTCTCTTCTCTCCGCCGCAGCATCTGCCGCACCACCATCCTGATCAGCTCCATCGTCAACTCCCCATTCCCCACCTTCTTCCTCCCTCTCTTCGGCATCGTCACCGGCGCGTCCTTGCTGCCCAGCTCCCCATCTTTCTGAGCCGCGGAATCGGCGCCGCGCCGGAGGCAGGGGAGCTTGAGGGAGTCCGGCACGGGCTGGCGGGACTGGCGGCGGAGGGCCTGGAGATGGTGGATCTCGCAGAAGGACAACCCATTCTTGGCCCTTCGGGAACACCGCCACTGCTTCCCGTCGCTCCTCCGGCACCGGAGATGCTCCGGCACGGCCTGGCGCGCCCGGCGGGACTGGCGGCGAAGGGCCTGCAGATGGTGGAACTCGCAGAAGGATTTCCCGTCCTCGGCGCGACGGGAACATTGCCACTGCTTCCCGTCGCTCCTTCTGCACCGGAGGTGACCCGGCACCGGCCCCTCCGCCCCCATTTCTCCTTCAAGCCTGAATCAACGCCTTCCGACGGGAAAAGAAGAAACAGAAGAGGAAGCAGTGGTCTTTTTTGAGGAATCCACTGGTTCCCAAGGGTTGCAGCCGCAGCAGTAGCAACGGAGAAGACGAAGAGGAAGGAACAGCTTTCGAGAGAGAGAGAGAGGGTGCAGAGGTATTTGTGGGCTCTCAACCCCAATGAAACCTGGCCCGCGTCTCTGGTAATATTCCCCGCGATGACAGCAAATAATATAATTTATCAAAAAAATAAAATATTTAGTACATTCTTTACTTGTTTTGAAAGGAACGCAATTAACCCATGAAATAATATCTAAAATGTGAATTCACCCGAAAATATTTGAATAAAAATCCCAACTTTGGTCGTGCCGAGCTCTCATTATAAGTACATGAATGGAAGAGTTCTCCAAGATGGAAACCCCTTTAAAAGGAAAAAAGAATAAAAAAAGATCATGACATGGGAAGATCTTCTTCGTCCACCACCTGAAGGGCCCTCACCAGCCTTTGCCGATGAGCCAGAGCCAGTCGAGCGTCACCCCGGAGAATATTCCGGCCAGCAAGCATAAGACGAGCAAGTTCCCCAGCGCGTTCTGCTCGGGCCCCTGCAAGAACAGACGATCACCCAGATCAGGATATTCTTCGGAGGCAGATTAAAACGCCTGCTTTCTGCGAGTCCTGCTTCCGTCTATTTCTCTCTCCCCCGATATCATTCACTATAGTTACTCCCATATACTGCTCTTTATCTGCCTACATCATTCATTCAGAAGAAACGCTCTCTCTCTGTCTCTCTCTCTCTATATATATATATATATATATATATATATATATATATCTATCTATCTAGAGGGAGAGGGGATCAGAGATGAGGGGGAGTGAGGCGGACCTTGTAGCCCTTGGGTGCGGCGGTGATGACGCAGACGGTGAGGTAGCCGTTGGACAGGCCGAGGAAGGAGGTCAGCGTGATCATCCACCCCTGGTCTCCGTACCTGGCGGTGAAGTAGAAGGCCGGGACAAGCAGGAACCGGGAGAAGATGGCGGCCATGAGTCCCCTTCGCGAGCCCAGTTTCAGTGCTTCCACCAGTGGGATGCACCGCCCGACGAGATCCCACACGTTGAACATGGCGATCAGGACCAGCGCATACCTGCACAAGAGCGAGAGAGAGAGAGAGTCAACCAGAGATAGTCAAAGGACTGATCAAGAAAACACACAGCAGGTGATGTGGGCTCAGGGTTACCAGGATCCAAGGCTGTGTGACCCGGTGTCCTCCGACAAGAACCCAGGGAAGATCGACAAAGTCAAAGTATAGATCAAGAACATGTCGAGCGCATAGTCAACGTTCTGCAGGAATAATTGCGTGGTGCTGAGACGCTCTGGATGCTTGGGATCCTCACCCTGCGCTCAGATGAGAGAAATCCTATGATGAGAGAAATCCTAGGATTTATAGAGGAGAGAAATCCTAGACAAAAAACTGCCAAATCATATAAAAACGTGTGATCAGAGTTGACTCCATGAGACGTGCGTCGTGAGTGGGGAGGTCTCTCATGCCGCCGGCGGCGAGGTCAGCTGAGACTGTCTTGGAGCCTTCGGAGGCCGCCTTGGAACGGTAGAACCTGACGATCGGCAATCTGGGGAAGATGAAGGCGTAGAGGAGGACGCACAGCAGCTCGAAGAACGATGAGATCGCGAAGAACAAGACTACAGAAGAAAGAAAGCTTCAGGTGCGCAGTTCTCAGATTGATTCATCAGCTGTGAAAAAAAAAAAGAAAAAGCGCCAGCCCTGAAGAAAAATCCATCACAGAAGGAAGAAAATGAATCCATCTCGGATTAATATGAAAAAAAAAGAGAAGAGAACTGAATTTTTTTAAAGGCCAAAAATCATCTGCAAGAAGGAATTCAGAGAACAGGATCGGCATACCGGCTTAAAAAAAAAAAGAGAGAAAAAAAGAGATGATAATATCAACAGAAAGTTGGTGTATGAACAAATGAACAAAGTGAATTCATATCAAATGATTCATACGAGCTCCTTTCCGAAGGCCGCCTTTGGTGTTCTCGAACGCCCCCTTGGTAATCAGCCTTAGGGCGGATATAATTGCTCCCGAAGCAGCAAGGCCGGCCAGAAATGACTGCAATTTAACAGTATTCGCATGAAAAAAAAAAAAATCGGCTCAAAGACATGATTTTTCTTCTTGTTCTTGCTCCTCCCATGAACCCTTTACCTGGACAAATTCAGGGCACATCAAGGACAGATCCCCCACCATCCCCCCCTGAACATGAGCATCTGCCACCCCAAATGCTCCGCTGATGATGCAAACGCCCAGAAAGGGCCAAACCCCTCCCCTCCCCGATGTCGCCAAATCCAACTACAAGACCCGATGTTGCCAAAATTACTACCTTTTTAACATAGTTTTTCCTAAAAAAGAATTAACAGAGAGAGAGAGAGAGATGCTTACTACAATCAGTAACAATGAGCTAATGAAGAAGATGACATAACCAGTCAGGTTGCGTCTCCGGGTGTTTATCTTTGCCTCGCGATAGGCCAGAATCGCAAGCAGACCAACAGCAAAGGGCTGGTAAACCAGAGTAAGCACCCTCGTCGGGTGGTAATCCTGTGAAAACAAGCCATCATTATGAACAGAACCAATCCGATGGGCCATACATTCGAAGTCATCAAGGAAGATGGGGAGGATGATACGACCAACCAATCAAAATGTCCGCACAAATTCACCAACTATAAATAGAAATCTTGCTAATAATTGTTTTCATGGGGAAAATATTTCAAGAAAAATAGACAGAACATAAATAGCCCGCTGATCGGATATTAAAAGTAAAAAAAAAATGACGAACAGAGCCAATCCGATGGGCCATGCATTTGGAGTCATTTAGGAAGATGGGGAGGATGATGACCAACGGATAATAATGTCTGCACAAATTCACCAATTATAAAAACAAATGCAAGAACAGGAGAGATATTTTATCCCATGAGTAGAAGTCTTGTTAATAATTGTTTTTATGGGGAAAAGATTTCAAGAAAAATAGACAGAGCATAAAGGGGAGAGAGAATTGATCCGCATACAGGAAACAGGTAAGCGTAGTAGTCCCCAATCGTCAGCATGCTGTTCCAAGAGAAGAGACACCCGTTTCCCAGAATCCAGCACATAGCCATGGCAGCGTACTTCCCCTGGCCCAACTGGTAATGGGTATCGACGATCCATTCAAGAACAAAAATAAAAATTATTAGCTCTGTTTTCATCCAATTAAAGAAGAAATAAATCCCATTGGGCAGACAGGAATCCCGCCCAGGATCTTCAGTGACCCATTGAACAGCGAGAAGCAACAGACCTCATGATCGATGGGAGCTCCATCCCTGTGATCCGGGTTCATTGCTTGAGCTCCTCCTTTGGTTAGCTTCAACGAAGAAAAACAAAGAAAAGATGAAATCAGGCAGTCAGATTCACGAAAGGAGGCGTCATTCCAAGAAAGCCCAAGAGGATGGAGAACCAGAGGAACTGGACCCAAGGCCTTAAGAAGGAGTGGGGAGCTCACCAATGCTCGGGAAGACGACGGGTTGAGGAAGACGTCGGGGCGAGTAGTCTCCCTCTCCCTCTCCCTCCCCCTATCTTTCACTTTCCGCTGACTCCGGGGAAGAAGACGAAGCCCCCGCCGAGCGTATGATGGTTACGATCTATCTTGGGGGAGGAGACTTGGCCTTTCGGGATATTCCGGCGAGATTCCGTGCCCTTAGGGCCGCTTCCGGCGAAATCGGAAACAGAATCACCCTCTTCTGATGGGGAATCCGTTTCGCTCCGCGACCAACGAGCGTTGGGTCACGTGTGAGAACCCGTTGACTGGGATGCGCCGCCACCGTCGGCCGGTCGGAACAGCGACCCTGGTTCCTCCACGGCCGGAGTAGAGTGGAGCTTCTTCCTCGGCCGGTGGCCCTCCAATAATGACGATGTGGGAGAGGAGTGGGGCCGGTGAAGCCCGTCGTTTTCCTACCGTCCTCCATGAAAGGCCCCCGGCGAAGCACGATCAGCGCCGTGCGGAGGCCACCCACCCGTCATTGGTCAAGTACGAGGGCTTGAACAGTCTAGAGAGAGAGAAGGTTGGGAACGCCCCAAGATCCCCCTCGCGATGGGGGTGGACCCGGAGGAGATCGGTTTGACCCAGAAGAGATTCCGGGGACCCTACCTCCCCAAGGAAGAGGGCAGTCGTCGATCCTCCGCGGGTTCACATTCATTGGGACGACAGAGGGAGAAGCTTTCGCAGTCATGATCAGGAGGGTCGTCTCTCACTACAAATGGGGACCCTTCCTGTCAAGCTCTAGACTGAATCTTCTCCACGGCTGCCCCGTCCTTCCCTGCATATCAGCCCGAAACCTAAGCAGATAACGAGAGAAGGCAAGAGAGGACGAGCGAGAGAGAGAGAGAGAGATTCAGGGATTTGAAGTGGGCTTTTGATGGTAACTTCTCCCCTCTCCATGCGGCCCAAATGACAAGCCCAACTCCTAAGTCATGGAGGAATCGATTCGATCTCGACCTGGAATCCGATTGCGATCTAAGACCCGGGGCCACCTCCTCAGAGCACCAGCGTTGATACAGTGCGCCGCCCCGAGGACGAGCTACAATCCACACCTTCCCCGTACCATGTCGGCGCATCTCTGGTCAGCCCATCTCCCTCTCTCTCTCTAAGGGTGTACATATATGTACGTATACATACTTCATGGACCATCAGAGACTAATCATGGCACCCTATATGGAGGAACAAGGGCGTGGGAATATGCTATCCATGCACTCGTACGGCTCTCTCTCTCTCTCTCTCTATCTATCTATCTATCTCTGTCTGTCTCTCTCTCTCTCCTCTCTCTAAGACAGAGTACGAGCGTCTGCTGTAGAAGCCCTTTTGACCGCCACTGGTTGACGGAGATGAAGAGCTTCTGTAACAGAGCTTTTCCTCCGGGATTAAAACCGCAGCCAGAAGAGGCCTTCCAAGCTACGCCGGCCCGGCACGAGAGAGAAAAGCTAAAGCACTTCCTCTCTCTCTCTCTCTCTCCCTCCCCACACCGTACTTGAGCCAAAATGAGTAGAGAAGGGAAGTCTCCGCCCCCTCCGCTTTAGTCTTTCTCTCCCATCGATGCAGCAACCCGAAGGAGAGGAGGAAGAAGAAGAGACAACCCTTCTCTCCTCGCATCACGCAGAGGGACCTCTCTCTCTCTCTCTCTCTCTCTCTCTCTCTAGGAAGTCCTCCAAATGCATGCTAGCGATAAGAGGTGCTCCGTTAACAGAGTGACAGGGGGCAGGTAGACTTTGCTAAACCCGTTCAATCAGATACGATTTGAAGAGGGTCTTCTCTCTCTCCCCCTCTAACTCTCTCTCCTCCGTTTATCACAGACATCACGGATTGTCCAAGGGGACACTGATCCATGCAGGACGTTCTGTTTGCATGTGTAGAGTGCGCCAATTGAGGAGTAAATATATTTAAATAATATGTATAATTTTTTATTAAATAAAATATTTAGTAAGTTTTAATAAAATACTTTAATTTACTGTTATTATTATTTCCCCCCTTCCTTCCTTGAGGGAAGGAGGCAGTGCAGGCTGGCGGGGACAGAACTGGAGATCGATCACATGGGCGGGCCGCTACCGAAGGGAAGCTAACCCACAAGGACAACGTACCGTTCGGCCTTATCTGGAGAGGGTCCACTGGGTCGGATCATGATGTTGCCGGCGATCCGACGGCTACGCGTAAAATATGCCGCCAATTTTCCACGATGAGACAAAATTTTCCCCTGGGCTTTTCGTAATTTAGTGGAACGGCGGCCAGCGTGGAAAACATTCTCGAGAGGAGAGAGAGAGAGTCCGTACCGACTAGACGGTCATGTTAGGGGAACTATCACCAGTTCACGGCGTCAGACGGTGATGAGTGGCGAGATCCTGAGATCGTCACGGCCAACGGGTCCCTCGGGATGACCAGAAAGAAGCGGAGGAGAATAATCCGTCACCGCGCGCCATCTGATGACCTTCTCGCGTTTCCCTCGCGAAGGAGTGATCCTTAAAATGACCGCTCCTGCGCCCGTGGCCTCCGACAGCTCGGTGGGTCCCACTCCCCCCCACCCCCTTCTTCTTCCGGCCCCATCAACCCTAAATGATCTCTCAGAAGCCTGAGAGAAGAACCCCCACCTCGCTGCGCCTCTGTCTCTGTCTCTCTCGCATTCTCTCTCCTCAGAGCTCTGCGGCGTGCCGGATGAATGTGGAGGAGCTTCTAATGCTTACAAAATGGTGGGCGAAGGGGGGAGGGAGAGGAGGAGATCTGTGCAGATCTTGTATCAGATTTAGTTATTTTCCCTAGAAAGCAGTGGAGGCGCTGAGCGAGCAAGCCAGGCCAAGCCCCTCCCCCAGCTATAGATAAGAAAGCAGAGCAGAGTGGCGAGAAAGGTGGGGAAGCAGCAGCAGTAGTAGCAGCAGCGCCGGCAGCATCACCGACGTCCGCAAAAGAACCATCCGTGGAGGAGGGGGAGGGGTGGGGCTGCGGGATGGAGAAGTGTGGTAGAAGTTTGGTTTCTACTTTTCTTCCGCTTTAAAGCAGATCAGACAATCCTCGCTCGAGGCTCCGATGTCTCCCTGTTGCTTTTCGGGGTAGAGGACGGGGGTTGGGAGTTGATCGGGGAGATGGAGTTCGATTTGGAGGATCCTCTCGCTGGTGCGGGTGCAGAAGGATGGTGGGATGTCGAGGAAGCCTCCTTGGAGAGCTACCGGCTGGAGTCTATCGAGTCGCTGCTCGCCGCTGAGTCCGATCATGTGTCCTCCCTCAGGAATCTCGAGGAGGACCTACCTCTCCGTCGCGATGCCGTCTCGCTCCTCGTCCAGGTACGTCGGCTGGTGATTGGAGAGTGTTGTCATTTGTTACGTATGATTGCATCCAGATGAGGCCGGTATCTTCGTTTCTGCGCAGGCTCAGGATACCTTCTGCTCGGATCCCTTCGTCGTGTACCTAGCCACCAACTACGTCGATCGTTTCCTGTCGCGCGAGACAATCTCGGTATCTGTCGATGCCTGTAGCGCCGAAGCAATCGTGTGCATTGTTCGACGTTTGCTCCGGGAATGACTTGTCGTCCTGTACTGTTTTTCAGAGGGATAAACCTTGGATCGTGGGGCTACTGGCCATCTCCTGCCTCTCCCTCGCTTGCAAGATGAAGAAGATGGAGTTCACTGTCGCTGATTTCCTGGTATTTCGCGCTTCAATTTCTCGTCATGTTCTTCACTTAACAACCTAATGTGATATCTATTCTTCATTTTTTAAAATTGATGTGAGAACGTGATCGGATCCGGGAAAACGGATTAGGCTGCAGAAGGTCTCGCATACGACGGCCAAACAGTCCGGCGGATGGAGCTGTTTGTGCTGAGGGTGCTCGACTGGCGGATGCGCTCCATCACTCCCTTCTGCTTCCTCCGCTTCTTCCTGGCCTTCTTTCGCCCTGTGGAGCCGCCGTTGATCGCCGCCCTCAAGGCCCGCGCCTCAGAGATCATCTTCCGTGCCCAAAACGGTAACAAATGTGGCATCCAATAGCGTTTCCCCGTTACTTGTTTCCTCAGAGATCTGGGAATGCCGACTGATTGATTCTACCTCGATCGTCTACGGTTGTAGAGATGAAGCTGCTCGACTGCAAGCCGTCGGTGGCGGCGGCTTCGGCACTTCTCACCGCCTCCCACGCGCTCTTCCCCCTGCAGTTCCCTTCCTTTCGCGACGCCATATCTTCATGCTCCTATGTACATAAAGTAGGGGATTCGACCATCCAAGAGGGCCGTTAGTTACTACCGCCCTAATTATCCATCAACGTCATCATCCTTCAACCAGCGGGGGAATTTGATAATTTTTTTTTCGACCGCTTGGCAGGAGGAGGTGTGGGGCTGCTGCGTCGTGATGGGGGAACTGACGGCGGCGGGGGCCTGCGGCCCGGCGCTCGAGGCGGCGCACTGCGCCACCCCGGTGACGGTACTGCGCCACCACCGCCACTGCTCGAGCTCCGAGAGCGAGGGCACCGTCGCAGGGGACTGCTCCCCGCTAGGCGGCGATGCCGAGAAGCGCCGCGCCGGCGGCCTCGCCAGTGACTGCCGCACCGTCTTCCTCAGCCCCGCCGCCGGCGACTGAGGAGGCCGCCTCCTCTCCTTCTCCCAGATCTGCCTCAATTCGTCACCCCAAGCGGAGGAAGGGAGAAGCGCAAATGGCCGAAAAAGAAGAAAAAAAAGAGGAGAATTTCCCCCTTTTCTTGGGCATTTTCCCTTTTCCGTTTCCAACCTCTGTCCTCGACAAAATTCTATCCATTCTGGTAAGCCGTCCGTACATAATTAGACGTCAACGGAAGCGTCTTGTTTGGGGTGGGAGGGGGTGTGAGGGGTGAACTTACCGTTGTTTAGGACTCCAACGGCCTACCGGACCGGTCTGCTTCTCCTCGGGTCAACGCCGTAGGTAACCGTAGTTCATCCAGGATAAATAGCAGGGTATGATGAGCTGGATACCCCTGGGCCCATCCACGTTTCCTCTGGAGATCTCTTTCTACTGTATGCACCCAGGTACGGAACTCCCCCCCCCCCCTCTCTCTCTCTCTCTCTCTTACCTTCTCTCTCATATGTGCTTGGCTTGTATTAGTGTACTAGCTTTTGACACGGATCTGACTGACGTTTAAAATTGACGCAGTCTTATGCATATGCTTTTCTAAGTTCCATTCATGCTCATTCTAGAGAGAGAAAGAAAGAGAGAGAGAGAGAGAAAGAGAGAGAGAATGGGAGTGAGGAACATTTATGAAGCACCACCCTTGAGCGCGCTTGGCGGCTACTTTACCGACCTCCGTCTGGCTCTTTGGCGGAGCAGCAGAGAGCAGCATTAATGGCGATGGAGCCCAAGGTGGGCAAGCTCGGTCAGTCTGTTATCTTTGCCCTCTTCTTCTCCCATCATTTCTTTAAAATCTCCAGAGTGAGAGGTCCCCATGCGCAGCCTGGCAGGCTTTCCGCAGCCTCTCTCTCTCTCTCTCGCTCTCTCTCTCCTCCTGTCTGTCATGCTCGGGGATGCAGGACCGATCGAACGATATCTTCGATGCCGCAAACCCGGAGGATGCAATTTAGAGAGAGAAAGACAGGTGGAAAAGAGGAATAAGACATTCTCTGGAGACCACTATACGCTTTGTGATGGCAATAAACTCGTGTTTTCCCACTACCCCCCCCTCCTTCCCTCTCTCTCTCTCTCTTTCTCTCTCTCCCTCTCTACGGGCTGTGCGGAATTAATGGCGACCAACGAGGAGGGAGAGGAAGTAAAGACAGAACCCCCCGCCCTCTCTGTCTCTCTCTCTCACTCTTTTTCTCTCTATAGACCACTGTTTGATAGGAGAGGTGAAAAGGGGTGAGCTTTGTCCGTGGCATACCTTCCTCAAACCCCGCACCTCCTAACCCACCACCGGGCCGCTCAAAGTAACAGAGGGAGGGAAGAGAGAGAGAGAGGGTTCGGCTAAAGCATGAAGAAGGAGACAAGGGAGACGGGGAGTGTGGGCTCGGATTCCTCTCCGCCGTGGCCTCGGATGCTTCTTCTCGGTCCTCTCTCCCCTACCCACCTCCACTGACCTGCTCCGGAGAGCCGCCAAAACCTCACATGGGCCTTCCGCTCCCAGGTAGCTTCTTGCCTGACTCTCTCTCTCTCTCTCTCACCACGTTTTGCATTTCACGGGGGCTAGGTCAACGTCTGGGCGTCCTCTGTTTCCTGCATGGAGCCTTCTGCGCTCTTCCACAATTCTCGAGGTGTCTTCTTCTCCCGATCCTTCTCTCTCTCTCTGTCTCCACTCTCTCTCTGTGCACCTACTCACGTGCGCCACCGAGCCTGTCGATCGTGTACGTGTCGTAATTTCTCATTTTTAACTATAAAAAAATTAAATTATCCAACCATTTTCCTTCTTTTTTTATAAAAAATATATTGATAATACATCCACAGAGAGAGAGAGAGAGAGGTGGAAATGGGCATTCTAAAAAATCCTATTTTTACAATATTAGTCGAAATTAGTTTTTGGAGTATTTTAAAAAACCCATCTAATTTCCCTCTACCGGACTCTTTTTAATTGCTCTTAATTATGAGCCCTTTTTCCTAAATTTTATTGACCTTCGCGGGACTAATTACGCACGTGGTCATCGCGGTGGCGGGAAGCGGGCGGGGGCTGTTTTGAACACAAGTGACCTAGCTGGACCTCTAATTTGGTGCCATTTAATGGGCTACTAAAGTTGGGCTGGGCTTCATCCGCCACGTGTACTTTTAATGGGCCAACCCGCCAGTTCCAAAGCAAGCTGGCTCACCACGTCTCCTCCTCTCTCTCTCTCTTTCTCGTCGGACACGCAAGCAATCAAGCGCAGCCGACGGGGCTTTGGACTGTGCGTGCGTCCGTTACGGCCCCATGCTGACGTGGGAAATCTTGTCCGAAAACGACAAAGGTGGACGTGATTGTGGGGCCTACCGCAGGTCAGTCAAACAACTAAATTCGCTATTAACGCCTCGGTCGGGGTGATAAGGGTGAGGACAATTAGGGCCTTTGACCCCGCCAGAAATGGAATAGTGTACTCCGACCGAGCTGTCCCAGTCAACGTTTGCTTTTTCTTCGATATGTTCCAAATATAACCTTCATAAGTTTTTCGTAAAGAGGCTTAATTTAGGGGCATAATGGGCATATTAGCAATGCCGACGGGCAGACCGGGCACAACGGGCAGCGGGTATTTGGCCCGTCCACTTCCATCTAAATGGTTTAGCGAGCCGTTGACGCCGTAGCAGGGAGATGATGGGACGCCAAGACGACTGCGGGACACCATCTCTCTCTCTCTCTCTCTCTCTCTCTTCTCCCTCTTGTTTCTTTGTCTTTGTCCCTTTTAAGGGGGAGAAAGCTAGCAGTTATTTGGAAGCCATGAAGCCGGAGAAGAGGAGGGGGAGAGGGAGGGGCGGGTTTCTTCTCGCCTGCTTCGAGTCGCCGGCGGTGGCCGGCAACGCGGAGGAGAGAGAGGAAGGACTGGGCTCGCCACCTGTTTCTCCGGCGACGCCGTCGCCGTCGCCCTCGTCCTCCTCGAGGTCGTCGTTCTCGGCGGCGTCGTCGTCGGAGGAGGAGGACGGCAGGCGTAGGAAGCAGCGGCGGCGCTCGTGGCGCCTCCTTGCCGTCGTCGTTCGGTCGGCGGTTCTCGTCTCTTCTCTGGTTGGTATTCCCATCTCTCTCTCTCTCTCTCTCTCTCTCTCTCTCTCTCTCCTGCTTGATTATTGATTTCTTCATCATGATCAATATCTCTCTGTAAGAGGCAAGTTCTTTGATCGGATGGTTGACCGCGGTGCAGCAGAAGAATCGCCGCGCGAAGCCGCCGCCGCATGAGAACTCCCCCGCCCTCCCCTCCGACGAAGACGATCCCAACTCAGACGGGGCCTCTTTTTCCTCGTCTTTTTCATCCTTCTCCTCCACCGCCACCGAAGAGAGCGAACCCACTCAGCCGTCGGAGGGGAAGAACAGCGGCGGCGCCGCCGATATAGGGTTTTGGCTGCTGATGCTGGTCGTCCTCTTCGTGGTCATCTTCTGGGGGCGGGCTTGCGCCATAATGTGGACCTCCACGTGCCTGTGTTTCATGTTTGGAGGGAGATCCCACCGGCGTTTCTCCGGCGGCGGAGGCTGCCGGCGACAGAAGCCGGCGGGGGGCATGAGAGAGAACCAGCAGAGGGGGGAGAGATTCCGTCAAAGCCCACGAAAACCCTAGATATTATACACTTTCTATCTCTATATCTCTCCCCTGTTCTCGAGGAGGAAGGAAAACTCTCGATACTCCTCCGGTTGTCTTCTCCGGCGACGGCGACGGAGGCTGGGGAGCCCTTTTCTTTTCCTTCCGCCTGCTTGTGCTTGTGTTTTGCGCTGTGCTGCTCTGTCAACAGAGGCTAAAACATCGCCGCGAAGTACCTTCTATGAAAGCGCTTCGATGGTTCGAGACTTCGATATTTTTTAATATCCACGACATTTGCTCGGTACTAAAGTCAACGTCCTAGGGTGCACATGGGCCTAGATAGAGAAAGGGTTGTAGAGAGAGAGAGAGAGAGAGAGATGGAAAGATAGAGAGATAGATAGATAGATAGATAAATAGACAGATACATAGAGGGAGAGAGAGAGAGAGAGACTTTCCCCTCAATGCCCGGCGATCTTCGCGCTCCATGCAGCTCTGCATGGCTCTCGCCATCGCACACGTGAAGAGAGAGAGAGAGAGAGATGTTGTCATGCACGTGATCATGCGGGCTATCGAGATGTGATGGGGCACAGGTCTGAGCGAGTCATGATGACTCGGCCTGCCACGTACCCGTCTATCCAATTCGGGACCACTGATCCCCTTCCACGTGGACATCACCGTCGAGCTGGATCCTGCACGTCAGAGGGCCGATATCTCTTCCTGGGTGAAATGGGCAAGGACGAATCATATGGGCTTGATTCCCTAAAATGGGCCCTTTAGACGCCCATTTAAATTGGGCCGGCCCAGCCTTGGGTTCACGTGAAACGGATCCTACGGAATCGGAATTAAACGGCTCCTGGATCCATCAAATGCCTGAGCCACCAGAGATCACCCCCGCCCCCTTCCCCCTTCTCGTCGGGCGATGGCCGCCACGACCTCCACCTTCCTTCGCGCCGCCCAGCCCCTCCTCCTCCATAGTGGAGCTCCTGCCTCTTCTTCCTCCTCCGCCGCCGCCGCCGCGATCTTCCCTCTCCGGCGATCCTCCCTCCTCCCCCTCTTCTCCACTCTCTCCCCTCCAATCCTCCCCCTCGAGGCAGACGACCCCAATTCCTCTCCCCCCTTTCCCTACGGACCCTCCCTCCGCAAAGGGCTCCGGCCGCCGTCGCCGCCGATACCGGAGGATGAATCCAAGGCGGCGGCGGTGGCGGCGCCGCTGCTCGATAGGGAGAGCTTCACTCGCGTCCTCCTCCTGGCGGCGCTGCGGGTGCCGGCGGAGCTCTGCGCCGCCCTGGAGGGCCGCCTCCGCGGTCACCTTCTCAACTGGCCCCGAGTCCGCAATGTCGCTCGCGTCTCCGGCGACGATCTCGATCCCGCCGTCGCCGGCCTCCTGAGAGATCGCCGCGGCGGCGGTGAGGACCGTCTCCGGCCGGCGCTGCGACGGGAGGAGGAAGAAGAGGAAGAGGATCCGTCGCCGGAGATGCTCAGCCCGGTGCTGTACAGGGAGAAGCTGGTCAAGGATTTCAATCACCGAGGATTTCTGAAGTTCCGAAACCTGGCCAAGCTGTCGCGGCCGAGGAAGAGGAAGAAGAAGACGGAGGATGAAGCTGGAGAGGGGAGCAGCAGCAGGAGGGGCAAGCGGGAATTCGCCGTGGTCGAAGTGGTGGAAGATTCCGGAGAGGGAGAGGAAGAGGAGCAGGAGCACTGGGGACGACTGCTCGGCAACGGCTTCGCCGCCGGCGGCTGGCCGGGGCCGACGAGGTTACTCCTGCTGGACGAGCGCTACGCCGACAGAGGCCCCGAGGATCTACCCGAGGCCATCAAGGTGTCAAATCTTCTCCACTCCTTGGTTTCCTTCGTAGACTTCTCCTCATCTCTCCATGCGCACAAGATGTTTGCTGTTTTGACTCTGAGAGTGGCTTCATTAGATCTTGGGATCTAGAGAGAGAAATAAGTCTGAGAGTCTGAGCGAGAAGGAGAAAAGAAGGGGGATTGGTGGCCAGTGGGCCTGAGAATTCACAGATACATAGATAGATAGAGAGAGAGAGAGAGAGAAGAAGGGAGAAGGGGGATTGGGGGACGGTGATCCTGCTGAGTATTTAGAGAGAGAAAAGAAGGGAGGGAGGCCTCAAAATCAACTGGGCCCATTTGACTCTGCTTCGATATTATATCAGTCCTCTCTCTCTATCTCTTACTAGTTATTTAGTCCTGCATTTCTCTTATACTAGAATTTTAATTTATTTATGTCATAAATAATTTTGTGTTGTAGTTCAACGAATAATTCAGCCTGAGATTTGTCAAAAAAAATGTTTTTCTTTTTGTGGATGGTAAAAAAGGAATTCCCCTTTGACTCCAGGCCGTCATGCGCGCGGATGCGACACCTGGCAAGCCGTCAGAGTACCAGTTCGTGCGATGCCGGTTGACTCTATCTTACGACTACTGGTCAACCAATGAGGTGACGGCATATATTTTAGCTCGCTCTTCTTTGGAAAAGTTATTCAAATATAATATTCATAATATAAAACCCCAATATATTACCATAAATGAATTTTTATATCATCATTATGACGTCACCTCCTCCCCAGATCTTGGAAGGGCTTCTTCCGGAGGGCGTGGTCGCCCCCTCGGCCTTCGAGACGGTCGGTCACATCGCCCATCTGAACCTCAGGGAGGAACATTTCCCGTTTAGGAAATTAATCGCCCAGGTGCCTTCTCTCTCTCTCTCTTTCTCTCTCAGCGTTGACCTCTGCGCTGAGGAGTGGTTTCCATTTCAGGTAATTTTGGACAAGAACAGGCCGAAGATCCAGACGGTGGTCAACAAGACGGACGCCATCCAGAACGACTTCCGGACGATGCCGCTCGAGGTCCTCGCGGGGAACCACTCCCTGGTGACCACCCTCCTCGAGAGTGGGACCCGCTTCCAAGTCAACCTTGCCACCGTGTACGACCCCTCCCTCCACCACCAGTCAACGTGGTATTAGTCAACGCTGGGGCTCTTCGTTGCGGCTGAAAGTTGCTTGTTTATTTTTTCTGAAGCTACTGGAATTCTCGGCTGGCGACGGAGAGGCAGAGGCTCATCGGCGGCTTCAGCGGCGACGACGTGCTCTGTAAGCGCCCTAGACCGATGGTTCTCCGGCCAGTTGACTTTTCCCCCGTTGACCGAAGGAAGGTCCCCGGTTTTTCCGGCAGGCGACGTCTTCGCCGGCGCCGGCCCAATCACCGTCGCCGCCGCAAAGAAGGTGAGGCGCGTCTACGCCAACGACCTGAACCCGGAGGCGGTGGAGTACCTGCAAACGAACGTCGCCCTCAACAAGCTCCAGAGGAAGATCGAGGTGGGGGAGTTCCTTCGAGAGAAACAGAACGTTGACTACACTGCCGCCGTTGACTCCGCCGCCGCCTTTTTGTTGCAGGTGTTCAACATGGACGGGAGGCGCTTCATCGAGGCCGTCTTCTCCAGGGAGGCCGCTGCCTCCGCCGCCGCCACGCAGGTCGTGATGAACCTCCCCAAGGATGCCGTTGATTTCCTCGATGTGTTCAGGGGGCTGTTCGCGAAGGGGCGGGGCGGTGGCGCCGCCGCCGCCGCCGATCGCCGTCGGGCGCTGCCGAGGATCCACGTGTACGGCTTCTCGAAGTCCCAGGATCCGGAATTTGACTTCCGTGAGGTCGACAGCTCCGCCGCCATGCCTCCGCCGCCGTCTCTTTTGCTCTTCGCGTTGACTTTTTTTTTGAGTTTCAGAGGATCGCGGTGGCACTGGGCTGCGAGCTCCCCCTCGACGTTGATGTCCACCGCGTGCGCCTCGTCGCCCCCGGCAAGTGGATGCTCTGCGGCTCCTTCCTCCTTCCCCCCGCCGTCGCCTTCGCCCTCCGATGAGCTAGAGAGAGAGAGAAGAGAGAGAAAGAGCTGTGCTCGGTCTTGAATCATACCAGTGATGGTTGGGGTGATTTACTCAGTGAGGGTAAGCGGGCCATTGAAGAAGGGTCAATGGCGGCGGCGACTGACGGTATCTGACCGTTCCTGCCTGGTCCTCTTTTTGACTGCTGTAGAGAGGGAAAGAGGTGGATCTGAGATAGGGGCGGCGCCGGAAGAAGAAAGAGCTCAGGCGGTGAAGAACAGAGGAGGAGAAGAAGAAGAAGAAGAAGAAGAAGAAGAAGATCGCTCGGATCTGAACTGAGATACATCCCGGAATAGATACTTCCCGAAAGGCAAACCTCTCTCTGTCTGTCTCTAGGGATTTGATGGCGGTTGTTCCCGGCGGAGCAGCCGGTCATTAATGGCGGAAAACCACGGGCAACCTCTTCCCCTTTCGAGCTCCTCGCCATCGCCATCGCCGGATCGCGATGATGAGTGGTAGTAGCAGCAGCAGCAGCAGCAGCAGCAGCAGTAGAAGTAAATGGGCGGCGATTCTTCTTCCTTGTTCCTTCTTCCCCGGTCGGGTTAGGGTTTCTCGATCTGGTGAGGCCTGGCTTCTATTCCCGGGCCCTCTTTTGATGCCCTTCTTGGTTAAATCCGGAAACGAGGGCGGCGATTAGGCCACGCCATCTCTCTCTTTCTGGAGGTATCGCCGGTAGAATCGCCGCCGTACGCGGCGGACGGCGCCGGCGTGTTTCCACTCCACTTCCTCCCTCCAATCATTTCCCCCGGGAGAGGTGGCATGTGGCGCAGCCCCCGAGGATTGCCGTGTCGTTCCTGTTTCGGCAAGAAAATACACGTGTCCGGGGCAAATTGGCGGAGACAGTTAACTACCGGGACGTGGTGCGCTGCGCCTTCGCCACGCGTCTTTTTTTAGGGACCACCATCCAACAGATTGCCAGCTCAGCGAGAAACACGCCAAATCGCACCAACGGGAATGTGGGCTACTATTTGAGACGGATAAGCAATCGACGGCCCGAGATTCATCATCGGCGGGCCCCCCGACCCATCGACGACCAGAAACTTCCGACAGTGGGCCCCACCTTAACCGCTCCCCTCAGAATGCATGCAACCAGGTGCCTCTTGCACCGGCCCTCCGTACTCCCACTCATGTTTCGCCACGTGTCAGACGCTCTTCGTCTCTCTCTCTCTCTCTCTCTCTCTCTCGCTAGATACCTCCTGAATCGCCCTCCGGGCTTTCTGCTGTCTCCAGTTCGAGAATCGGGCTCTTCCTATAAATATCTGCCTGTGCGTCTCTTCTGCCCTCCTCACTCTTTCCTCGGCGATGGAGGCGACGTTCCTGACGTGGTCTGCGGCGGCGAGCTCTCAGGAGAGAAGGGAGGTCCCCGGGGGAGGCGGCGGGGTCTTCCTCTCCCAGCAGATGGCGGCGGTGGTGACGGCGGAACCCACCGGCGAGGTGTCGCCGCGCGGAAGGGCGGCGAAGAAGAAGAAGTCGGGAGGGCAGAAGAAGCCGCCGCAGCGAGGGCTCGGGGTGGAGAAGCTCGAGAGGCTTCGCCTGCAGGAGCGATGGAGGATGATGACCGAGATCGAGCCTCCGCTGGCCGACCAGCAGATCCAGAGCAGCACGGCCACCACGCCCCCGGGGGGGATCCACGGAGATGATGATCGACGGCACATGTTGGCGGCGCAGTGCCAGGCTCCGCACTCCCCCTTCGTCCAGCAATGCGGAGGCAGCCTCCGGTTCAGCTTCCCGCCCTACGGCGCACAGCACCAGGCGGCCATCGGCGGCGGCCGGATGCCCCTCGCGAAGGTGGTGGCGGTGCCAGCGCCGGTGAGCTACGGCGGAGCCCCGGGGGACTCGTGCTTCTTGCAGAGGCACCGCCTGTTGGGGCCCGGCGGGGTATTTTTCGGGAACCGCGGGGCATTATTCGCCTCCGCCAGCTCGTCGGAGAACCACGACGACGGCGCGGGCGATCGGCTGCGTCCAGCGACGGCGATGCCTGGCGTCCAGGCCGATAGACAGTCCTTGGAGCTCCCTTCTTCTAGCCAAAGCTTGCAGCGCTTCGAGCAACACGATATCTGCGGCGGAGTAAGGACGCTAGGATCTTCTTCAACCTTTTTCCATGAACTGCTCGCTCATCACCTCTACCTCCTCGCTGACGAAAGAAACGCGTGCAGGAGGAGAAACTCAGGACTAGTGAGATCAGCGGGGGATCGGCGGAGGGAAAGGAACCGCGCAACCCTTCCCCGGCGGCGGCAGATCTGGCGGCGGTCGCATCCTCAGAGGTAGAAGAGAACGCGGTGCACGGTAGGATCTCCGACCTCGTTTCCTACATGCATCATAACGCAATAATCTGCGCAGGAAATTGAGGTAAAGGGAGGATCGACGGAGATCAAGGTGTACGAGTTCTTCCCATGCAGCAGCAGCAGCAGCAGCAGCAGCAGCGGCAGTAGCGGCAGGAGCAGGAGGGGCAGCCCGATCGAACGCCGGACGGCGGACGGTGAACCCCCTTCCTCCATTTCCGCTCGCAGTAGTAGACATCACCTACACCTGGATCTATCGCTGAAGCTCTCCTCCCAGTGATCAGCCAGCCAGCCCGGAATGGAGAAGCTCCACTCTCCATGCCTCCTGCTTATCCACGGCAACTCCATCGGCCCCTCTCTCTCTCTCTCTCTTTCTCTACTCGTTGCATTTTAATCCAAAAGTGAAGAAGATGAAGACCTCGGGCGAAAACTTCGCCGCTGGAAAATTCTTTCTACCGCTGGTCACAGCTCGCGAACAGACGCCTCACCGTCTCTCCCTCTTTCCAGTTCCTCGCGGTCAGCTGCCTCGCGGGCGCAGCATAGAAGTCCTCGCGGGACAAGCTTCATCCCGTTGTGGACGACGAGAGGGAGAGAGAGAGAGAGAGATAGAGGTAGAGATGGAAGAGGTGGAGAGAGCGAAAGAGGGACATAGAGATAGAGAGAGAGAGAGAGAGAGGAGAGAGAAAGAGGGCGGGGAACCGCAGGCAACCAAATCATGGCGGCGAGGACGAGGAAAGTGAAATAATCCGCAGAGGCCAGCAGCATCCCCTAAATGATCAGCCGAGAGCCAAAAAGCACTCAGCAGAAAATAGATCACCGCCCCGGAGGAGACCCCTCCCATCCATCCATCCATCCCACTCCCCCACTCCCTGACAAAATCCCCCCCCTCTCTCTCTCTCTCTCTGAGAGGGCGGAGGGCGTCATCAGCCCCGCGTCCGATCAGACGACTCGAGGAGGGACGGATGGCTCACCAATCAGTCACACCCCCCCGGGCCCTGCGCAGGGGGGAGGAAGCAACCAAGACGGCCGGCTAGTAGTCGTCAGCGTCGTCGTCCTCATCGTCGTCCTCAATGTCGGAGGGCTCGTCCAGGGAGCGGAGGTCCAGCTGGTACCGCAGGATCCCCCCGATGCCCCCAAACCCTCGGCAGAACTGCGAGCCCTCCTGCGACTTGTTGGTCACAAACTCCAGCGTGCAGCCAAACGCCTTGTACTCGTTGGCGAACCACTCGAGCAGCGGCATGTGCTCCTGCACCTCCATCTCGGGCCCAGACGCCTCCCCCAGCTGGTCCTTGCCCAGATGCCGCACCACCACCTCCCCCGTGGCCGCGTTCTTCATCACGTAGCGCCCCATCTCGAGGTTCTCCCACACGATCAGCGTCTCCACCGCGCCCATCTCCAGCGCCTTCAAGGTGTCCTCCACGCCGAAGACGTACTTGCCCGTGTCCTGGCTTATCTCCTCGAAGTACTTGCCGATGAGGCGCTTCTCCTGGATGAACTTCACGTTGGAGAGGATCTCCGCGGAGAGCTCGATGGCCTGGTTGAACCCGTTCTCGCCGCCGTAGGAGACGTCCACCACGTTGAGGATCTTGGCCTGGAGCCGCTGATCGAACATGTCGGACTGGCTGAGCTCGGTCTTGAAGTCGGCAGAGCCGGCGAGGATGAGGCCGGCGACGTTGGGCTGGCTGGTGGCGGGGTTGATGAAGAACTGGGTGGCGAGCTCGGCGGTCTTGCGCACGTAGTTGTGGCGCTTCTCCATGCGGAGGCGGGCAAAGCGGAGGGCGGACTGGCCGCCGCGGCCGTGCTTCTTGGGGAGGTCGACGGTGAATTTGTGGAGGATCTCGCGGGAGTTGCCGCTGAGGGTGCCGAAGAGGGTGCCGTTGCCGTCCATGACGATGAAGCCGAACTTGTCGTCGGACTCCAGGAGCTCGTTGAGGGCCTCGGTGTGGAACTTGTTGTCGCAGAGGTAGAGGGAGGCGTTGATGGGCTTGAAGGGCTCCAGATCCATGGTGATCTTCTTCTCCTTGCCGTCGTCCGTGATGATGGTGCCCGTGTAGAGGACGAGCCCGTTGGGGGGGACCTTGGAGTGGAGCTTGAGGCGCTGCTGGGCGGAGGTGATCGCCCCGAGCACGGACTGGCGGTTGACCCGGCTCTTAATGTTGGAGGCGGTGCCGTACTCGTCGCCGAGCATCTTAGCCACGCGGGAGATCTGGTCGCGGGGGGGCATGATCAGGGAGATCATGCTCGTCCCGTTCCCGCGGGCCGATTCCAGGGCCTTTATCATCTTCTTGATCTTCCAGATCTCGATGTTCTTGTCCGTCTCCCCCCCGCTCTCCGACATCCTCGCTGCTCCAAGGTCAAATCAAAACTCAAAAGTCAAACCCTCCCTCCTCCTGCCGCCGCTGCCACCTGCTGCAGATTTGATAGGGGGAGGGGTCAGTCAATCGATCGAATAATATCAGAGGGCTTTCACAGAATTTATTCGTCATGCAAATTTTTTAGTTCCATACAAGTTATGTAAAAAAAATGAGAAATTTATTGAAGAGGGAGATGAATTCCGAGAACTCCATACAAGATTAAAGAAAGCCCATTTCTAGTTAAAAAAAAAGAAGAAAAAAAGATAAAAGAGTTAACAAATAATATTCCCCAGCTTCTGACCACCTGCCATCTGCTTACATTTACTTTGGATGGATAGACTGCATGTACTAGAAGACAACTTACACAAGAACAATAACAGCAACGGCAACGATAACAACGCCAAAGATTCTCTTCTCAGTTAGTTTTCATTTTTTTATTTTTTTATTATAAATGGAGATCACCTGCAGACTAGAAAAGTTTCAGAGCGAAGGCATGGCAATTAGCTTGTCTCATGCTCAAGAAACTTGGGTGAAACAAGGCTTTCTCTGTGTATACCATGGAGCAGTTATTAGACCTAGAAGCTAGCTTTGTTGGGAATGGGTACAGTCCAGACAAGAGGCAAGCAAGAACCACGAGAAGAAAAAGAGCAACACGATACATTTGATGCGGTGGAGATGACGACATTCTGCCACCCTATTGAGAAAAATGGGAAATTAAAAGGTGTCATAGTTTCCACTTATTCTCTCAATCTAGAAAGAAACCTGGAGCAGTACGTTCAAGGAGAGTTTCCTCTACAACGAAGGTCGATACCTCATATGAATGGGAAGGGAATTCTTTAGATGGTTTTCCTTCAGCTCGGGGGACTTATTGTCTCTAGATCTTTTATAAGGATAGTATATGGTCTGATATTGACTTTTGGGTTCACTAAAGAGGTCAGGCACACTCGAGTTATTCAGTAACCATCTATTTTACGAGAATTACAATGCAAAAAAGTAACCATCTATTTAAGAAAAACTTATGGAATATCCAGAAGAGGGATTAGTGGTTAAGAGAGTTAGAAAACATTGCAATTATTAACCAAATAATACACGGAACACAATAATACACCAGAATCATTTTTCAGAATGTGAATCAATAACAGACTGGCATGTATCAACGTATTCAACATATTAACAAAAAGAGAAGTGAATCATCGTTAATATCTCAGATGATGACGAATCTTCCCCCATTGGAGAGGCCTCTATAGGTAGAAGTTGCAACTACTCATGGAATTTCTTTCAGAGTTTGCTCCCAAAACTTTTCTCTCTTCAATCCAGGTCACCCCTCAGGGTCAATCCAGTTTGGCATCGATAGGATACTACAGATATAAGATGATCAGGCTCCCCCTTGACAATGAACAACCAAATCCAAAAACCTAGTGGTAGAAGACGGAGACAAATATCAATCGACTGGTAAATTAAAAGCACGGATCTGAACCGTTTGGCAAGGAGACTTGATGACCGTAAAATCCGTGCAACGAGAGAGCCAATGGTCCGACTACAGTTTGAACGGAGCCTTCTCTGATACAATTCAACCGAAACTCGGAGTTGGGATAAGTTACGTCTTAGCTTAGCACAAGCGATACAAATCGGCAGAAGAAAAAGTGAGAATCCTCGAAACGCCCAATCCACCAAAGGAAGATGAAAAAAATTCTCACATGCAACCTATTAACAGGCGGTCGGAACAGGCACCAACGCATACAAAAGAATGAAGCCGCAAAACGACAGCAGGAAAGAGATTAGCCATGCTGCGAACACGAAATCCATCAAGTTCTTGACAGTTTCATCGCTGCAAGACATACCGCCACCACACAGCGAACAGAGCAGGAAGAAAATAAACTCCTGGGATATAGACCTTGAACAAAGAAGGAATCAAGAGAGCAACTTACACAGTTAAGCGCGCGCCGCGGCGAGGATCTAGAGGACGATCCACTCGCAGATCGGATACTCCGGCGGCGAGGGGCTGGTCCCCGAGTCTAGGGTTTTGCGCTTCAGGTGACAGCCACTTCGCAGCGAGATGGATAGTGCAAGACGGGGGCGCGTACGGTGCCCAGACATACGCATAAATATATATATATATTAAATTATATAGTTCTTTTTTTGTGTTGACGCAGCACTTGAATAAATAAATAATTATCTAGGCCGAGCTGATAACGTCATATGATGACATGGCACTGTTGTTGGCCCACCCCTTGCTTTTCGTGCACGAAAATTATGCTCATCAGGCTGGGTCTTTCCTAGTACTGTTCTAGCGAGAGCGAGAGAGAGAGAGAGAGAGAGAGGAGAGAGATTTTTTGGCGTATTAAAAAGCCCATGAGAAAAAATAGCAGGGCAGATAAATTAACAAAATGTCTGCTTTGTAAGGAGAAAAATTATTGTAAGATAATTATTTTTATTTTCTTAAATACCATGATCCTAACAGTACGTACCCAAAAACTAAGACCTGCCAGTGCCGGGCCGGGCCTGGGCCCGAAAACGCCGAGCCGGGCTCCCGGCTTTTTCCTAGTTTTGGAGACGAGGAAATAAATAAACCCCAAACTAGGCGAAAATTATTAACGAAAAAAAAAATAAAAAATAAAAGGAGCGGCCGGGGAATCATCATCAGAACGTCTCAAGTCATTTGGGTACACGCCCACAAGATCATGCACCAGAGTACGGGAATTTACATAGAACGGAGAGGGATACCTTCATCTGATGCTCGGATCTCTTGGCTTCGCTTCAGACAGTGGCGTTGACTTCGGAGCGTGGAGGGAGCATGCTCCTCTGGAGGTTTTTCATTTGCTCTCTGGGCTCATGGTGGGGCCCACTTCGAGGGTCTGGAGCTCATTTGCCAGCTGGGAACGCCGCTCCCTGAGGAAATTGAGCCGGTGGGTCAACCTGGAGAGCGCCGAGGTTGACGACGACGACGATGATGATGATGCAGAGGTTGCATCGTGATGCTCCGAGGGCTCGGAAAGGAAGATGGGAATTCATTTAGTATGGTAATAACGAAGAATAAGGGCATCAAAACCATAGTTTCATTTCTTATTCTAACTACCTATCATTCATGAGAAAATAAAGAACCATTTGATAATTTCTGATCGTTCTTGCTAAATACAAGGATGCCCACAGTATATACACTCACAGCGTCTCAATTGGTATTTTTACGCTTCAGAAATCCGAATTTTTGCATTTATAACGGGTTATATTGTGGAAAATAGTTAAAATAAAATCCGTTTTTATGGGGAAATATGTAAGTTGAACCTGCAGATATACGATTTATATTATATTATTGATATTATATCAGATTCTAATCTTGGAGCTACAGAAATGCCATATTATGCATAAATATTAATTTTAATTGCAACGCCAGGTTTAGAAGTATTCGGTTTTATTTCATGCAGCCAATGGAACAAATCGTTACTTGAAAGGGCAAAAAATAGTCAACTCAGATGTTGTATCCGTCCATCGAACAAATCACCCATTAATAAACTTAGATCGAGTACCACGTTTTAAATTCTATTTTTCTTTCTTTCATTTGATCTTTTTTTCATGATTTGGGTCAGAAAAAAGGAAGTTAGAGCTGATCTCATCCACACTAGAATGAAAAACTGGCGATTCAGAGGTCAACCGGTGATGAAAAGGAAGGTACCTCAACCCTTGAAGAATCTTTCCTTGGAGCAGCAGTCTGGCGCGCTGTTGTCTGTTCCTCATTAGACAACCTAACTCCCCCCACATTTGGCTGGTGTTTCTGGGCAGGCTGTTTATCTGGTGGAGACTTCTCTTGGACGGGTGCTTTGACCTTGTCGTGATCTATCCCAGTTAAGTTATCCTGAGTTGGCCAAAGTCAACGGCGGGTTCATGTCGTGTACACAAAAAATTAGGAAGACGAGCATGATGGGTAAAGGCTTGTGCCCCACCTCTCCCCTGATGGGCCTCTTTGAATTGGCACGGGCACCACTGGACGATGTCTCCTTGACGGAGGAATCATTGTTCTCGGAGGGCGTCCCTTTCATCGACACTGATGATTCTTCAGGTGGGTCGCCCAGATGTTCATAATCCGATCCAAATCTGGTAGTCTGCTATCAATGGAAGATCAAGTTCAGTGGAGTGAGTTTCAGTATGAGATTAGATGCTCATGGTCCATTAGACTGGTCCCAGAATGGAACATACGCTTTGATTATGTAGATGGACGCAGAAAAAGCGTCACCTAAATGTTTATTTCCGAATGAGGAGGTGCATTGGAACAGTCTAAAAACATAATAAATAAATAAAATCAAGATGGAATAGTTAAAGAAAATATTTTCTAAAGACAAAATAAATAAAAAAATTAATCCCAAGTCTCCTGCCGGACCTCAAAAAAACTAAGAAAGATGCAAATGATACCTCAGACTCGTGGGATAATTTCTTGGAGTTGTATGATATAGACTCCATTTGGGTATGGTACAATGGGTTGACTTTTTTTTTTAATTTTTAGATCCTGTCTATTGGAGCCAAGCCAGTCTCTATTATGAACCACAAACAACTCCCTGTTTGATGGGAATCATCTGATCAGATGTAGTATAACCTGCTTGGGAGTAACTTCTAAGCTGAAGTGTTTATATCCATTTATGGAAAGACATGGAGCCACTTCTTCCGGTATGAATAAATCAGTGGCATGTTTTGGAAAACAAGAGGAAAAACAATGCTCAAGTCCAGATAAGCGTACCTCTTTACCAGAAGGATTTCTACGATGATGGGTGCTGGTTGAATTCTGAACGCACTTCGATTGGTCCTTCCTACGGCCAAAGAATTTCATCAAATCACATATGAAAGGCCGCAATGCCATTCAAGAAACCCTAGAAGAATCCGCATACGATCCCATGCACCTGTTACGAGAAAATTTATCTACGAAACTTTGAATACTTTCAAGCATTGCATGGGATTTAAAGCCTAACAAGGAAAGCAGATCTTCGTTATCTTCATCTCTGTGATTCTGAGGGAACTCTTTCTTCTTTGATTTCAAGGTTAGAACAGGGAAAGTGTGCAATGCTGACGGCACCTCATTCACAGGAGCGTGGAGAGGGTAAATGAGAAAATAACTGCACTGGTAAATGATTCACATACAGTTGTTGACCACATGCTAGACAGAGATTGCCAGAGTTCAGCTGACACTGTTGATTGAGCTGCCCACGAAGCTCGGCAACTTTATGTTTCAGATTAATCGCATCTGCTTCAGCAAGAGCAATTTCCTCGAGATCCCCTCTCACCTTTTTGGACCAGAATAGTATATGAATCTGGGTCAAAAACATAAAAACCTTCGAATAATAACAACTATTTCAACTTATCCTGATTCACCTTGGGGTCCATGACAGATGTGAGAGATACGTGCCCAGGTCTCATGTTCATGAGACCAGCCTCTAAGGATGTCCTCAACTCCTTCTCTTTCCTCAGTTGCTCTTGCAATCTTTTTACCTATTTCAGAAACAAGATCATCATGAGCTGCACAGATGCTCCATAGAGATCCCGGAGGACCATACATTACAAGATAATCACCAGCAGGTCAAAATTTCCCAAAGATTCGTAACATCACATTTCTATCACTACTGAAGAGGCCGCTGGAGAGTCATGAATGTTAGATTATTAAAGCAATGTTGCTTCCATAAAATCAGTTGCTCAGGATTTGTTAGCCTTTTTTGAGAAAATTGACTGGAAGAAGCGAAATGACCAGGACAGGGCCATGGCAGAGTGATTAAGGTAAGCAAGATGGACACATGTTACTTTACTAAGAGAGACTACAGGCGTGAAAACAAGTCTAACTTCAGTGTATGAATGTGTTTTATATTTCGCACAGCTTTTTGTCATCGAGAACATTGCCATAGTAGGAAAAGTTTTAGATTCGTTAAACAAGATTCCTCATAAATTGTTCAATGCAAAAGACAAGGATATCATGATAACCAAGACAACCAAGATGAGAAGCTCTTGAGCTTGCTACCTTAGGCAACCCCTTCACTTGGTCATCATTTAAGCAACAGCTTGAAAGCTAAGATCAAGAGATTAAGAAATATTGCTTTTGACGTTGGAAAGAAACATTGAACATTTATGCTTGAAATATTGCTTTTTTATTGCGTTGGAAAGAAAAACCAATTTTTATCAGCGGAATAGTCCACATCATTGGACGTTAGTTAAGCAGCACAAAATTGTATGCATTAAAAAAAAAAGAACTTGAAGTTTCTTTCAAAGTGCGTGTTCTTCAATCCAGGATTATGAAATCGATTATCTTCACAGTTTTTTTTCTTTCTAAATTCCATTGAGAATGCAAATTGCAACTGCATGCTATCTAAGATTGGCACATACATCTTCCTCAAGGGCCAAGCGACGCTCATGCAGTGTTTCCTTTCTTTTTTCTAAGCTTGCTTGCAGCATCGCATTTCCTTGGACCTACATAAGAATGACAGAGCCTCATAGAAATGAATTGTCTCTTTGGTCTAATCATAATAACCAAAAACAGTTTAAAACATTAGGCAATACCTCCTTAGTAACTTTAACTTGCAAGTCACTTTTTGCGGTCTCAAGCCTCTGAATTACATTGCTACACAGACCAAAAAATGGAATGGATAATGAATTGGTAGGTAACAATAAAGAATTTTCGTATATTTAAAATGTTCATCATAAAGCAGTTATCAATCCGTAGTCAACAGCAGTTGGTATATTTGTTCTATTTTAACCCTAGTCCTTGGGAAATGTAACGTTTATTACTGATAATGCACAAGTACTGACAACACCGGCCATAATGCACAAGTAATGTGTTAAGACGTTAATATCCACAATGGAATCAGACGAGTCTATGACAATTCAGAAACTAAAACCGAAACAAGGCTGTAGCAGTCTTTCTGCTGGGAAAGAGTGATGCACATGTACCAAGAAAATTAGAATTTAGATTTTCTGAAATCCACTGGTGCTACCAGTTACACATAGATACCAATGACATAATAACATATTTTAAATGGCCATCTTTCATATAAATGGTGATGATATCAGGCTTTGGGTTGCCCTTTTGACATACAATGAACGAGCACGAGTGTGTACATAGTATTGGGAGAGAGGGAAAGGAGGGAGAGATATAATATCGGGAAAGGGGAAGGATGCAAAGCCCAAAACTTCCTCTATTATTCTGGGTAGTTTTTCTTCAATTTTCTCTCTCCCTATCTTCTTCACTTCCATTCCTTTTTCCTCGTCCCTACCATTCCTTATCATGACGCCCCCCAAAAGAATCCTGCCCATTGTTTTCAATTTTAAAGATGAAGAAAAGATACTCGTACATTTGATTTCAGAATTCATCTTCAATGGAATTCACATACATTTGAGATGCATATGATCAAGGGGATAGGAGAGACTTACTCATCTTCAACGGAATAGTCAATTGACTCCAAAGAGAGGTTCTTTCTAGCCTGAAATAAAATAAATGAGAAAAGATGCGCAAAACTAGATCGAGCACAAAGCAAAGTACTCACCGAGGTACGTCCCCATACAGTTGGGGGTTTGATTTTTGATACTGGTGCGTTTAACTTTTCTGTGAATTTAGTAACACACGAAGGAGTTATATTGCTGACTGACGTCTGCAGTGAACTTGGTGAAGCACGAATACACTCCAAATATTCTTGAGAATCCGTGATGTTAGGAGCTGAGAGAGCACTATCTTCACACCGAGAACTGCTAGAGTTTTGTAAGCTATCATGACAAGATAATGGATAATGAGATGGGCACGATTGCTCTTCCTTTATATTACGTTGTACAACCGTTGATAAGGCTATCTCTGCGTATTTCTGGGTGGTTTCAACATCATTGTTGAACTTGGGAGATGCAACGCGCGAGTCATGATCCTCAGCAGCCTGAAACAAATGATACATGAACAGTGTTAGAAAAGATGATGAAAAAAATAGGCACGATTTTGTGCATGTGCAGAACACAAAATGATGAAAAAAGGTAACGTATGAAAGCAAAACTGTGATCAATGATGATATCCTGGAACAGGAAATTTAACTGAGAACATTGCAAATAAAAAGAGATGGTTCTATTCAGTGAATCATGGATACTTCAATTCATATTTTGAATTTAACCAGCAAGGAGAAAATGAATGGAAAAGATGAGATAACAGGCTACCTATAATTTAAACTACATTCTAGATATGAAAAACTGGTTAGGGCACTCTTATCCCTTGGAGCGAAAGACAAAACAACCAGAGAAGTAAAATCATGGAAAAATGTGATGGCATGGAAAATGAAACGGCTGTCTTATAACATAATAACATAATAACATAATAAAAATAAAAATGAAAAATCGAGTTGCTCAGAGCAATAAAATATCAGAGAAAAATAAAAGGCTTATTGCTATCTTATAACATAATAACATAGTCGTCACATAGTCGTCACATTTTTTGACTGTTTTCTATTAGATGAGTTAATCCAGTAGCCAAATATGATACCTGCTTATTGCTATCTTATAACATAATAACAATAAATGTCAAAAAGGAAGGACAAACATGACCTTAATGTCATACAGATCACCACACAAATCACTACCACTTTCATCTAGAGATCCACTGGATGTATTTTCTGGATCTTCCTCGGTTAATTGGTCAAGATCATTCTGGGCATCGTGGTATCCTTCATCTTCCAGGATTTCATCATCTGTTGACTCATCTCCATCATCATCCTCGTCTTCACTATCACAGTCTTCTGAACCAGAACAAAGCTCAGAAGGAAATGCATCTTCCTGCACAAAGTATAAATCATAGTACATGATTATCCAAACTAAATAACTACGTCAGTGATCTCTATTCATCATGAATCCAAATTATAATCACGACCAAGATTCATGACTGCAAGTATAAGATATTGCTAACTAGCCATTGGAAAAAAATTCAGATTAAATTTAGAGGCACATACAGAACAAATAAAATTCTCTTGATGTAGAGGCCAACTTGGTTTAAATCTTTGACTTAAGTTCTCCTAGAAATGAAAATATCAACGAAAAGTGCCAAATCAGGCATGAATTTCTGAAGTCTATAGCACAAAGTAGTATACTTACATTAAATATCTTTTCATACTCCTCAAGTAAGATTATGACAATAGCTTGTGCATGGTTAGCAGCCGCAGCAGCCTGTAAAAGCTGAATAGAGCCATCGCCACCTAAGTCAAAACCATCCTCGAGCTCACAGTCACCAGCAAGGAGTGGACGAAGAAGCAAGGGAGCCATGCACGCTGCAACGGCTGAAACAGTCATTCTATTCTCAGATTTATGAGAAGCAACCAGTCGCATCATCTTAAGAATCCTGGGGAAACAAATAAAAGTTTCAGGTAAACAGTCTAGGTTATTAGATTACAATTTTACTCAGAATTTAAGAAACTTCATAAGAAAAGACTTGTGAAAGAGAATGTTTAGATAGATGTCAAAGAAGAGGGAAGAGTTAATTATGGAAAATTTGTATTACAATGCTGGTAGGTGTAAAGTGTTTTTAGAATAGCACCAAGATTTAGAAAAATGAAAAGTTAAGAGAGGAGAAAAACACTATAAAAACAATAAACAAGTTCTTAACTTACTCTCTCATGCTATGACAGATAAAAGTGATCACTCTCTGTCGAATGACTTTCTCACCTAATCATCTCATTGTTCATGTCGTTTTATAATCCATAAGATGTTTCGTATAAGTCATTGAACTCCGCTCAACTTTTGGTGGCCCTGTCCTTGCCAACATGTTCATATCTCTTCGACTACCCAGAGGAATGACACTGTAGAGGTATTTTTCATAATACCCACACGGTCTATGGTCAGCTTCCCACGTCTAATAAATAATACAGACAATTAAGGCATATAAATAATAAAGTATAAAGTCAATGAAAAACATTTGGGGTGGTTTATGCACATAAAAAATGCCACCACATCACATATCAAGTGATATGGCTACCTCTATTATTAAGGTTCTGGAAGGATTAGTGAAACCAATTTGACTTTGGGTGGAATTGTTGAATGAAGATATGAAATTTGAATTTGTACAATATATTCATGATGCATGATAAAGTGTAATCACCAACTGAAACGTCTTCAAATACAACCCTTTCAAATTGGTAGGCATCCTGTTTAAAATCGCTAATTCAAATATAACTGTTTGATGTTCAAATCCGTGAGAATTTCAATCTTTCATGAGCAGAAGGGCTATCCAAGTGCCAATACATCTATGAAAGTGAAATGACGACTTCACAGTCTGTTGACTCTTTAGGTTATCTGTGGCCACTATCTGTCGAGATTGTATGCATCATCATGTTCTGTGTTGTCTCCAGTAGAGTTTTAGGTCTCTCAAGGTGGATTCTAAGGCTGTTGCCACGTTCTGGAAGGTTAACATAACCAGGGTCAAATTCGTATGGTCCAATAAGGAAATCCAATAGGTAGAAAAGAGTAAGACCTACATTCTTGAGATCACGCAAGGGCGCTGCTAATTTTGGATATATGCATTAAAATTCTTACAATTGGAAAAAATTAAAACCTCAGATCCAGAGCACTCCTTTGTCAACACTTTTGTCCTCCACACATATCGAGGTATCGTGACAGGTTGAAAACTGGCAAGCTACCATCATTCTGTCCTCCACACATATCGAGGGACACAACTTCTGTCAACTCTACATCAACCTCTGATAAAATAACTTTTATTGCAGTTACTGTCCCGAAAGTTTGAAGGAACTTCATCATCTAAAATAGATCTTATTAAGCTAAACAATTAAGGAAATATACATTAGAGAGGTAGCAACACATTTGGAATTAGGTGAATTCAATGGTTTCTTGGTGAATCCAGGTTTTTTTTCCCACTTGAGTTTAGTTCTTAGCGTACGATGGCAACATCATTCTTACCATACAAGCTGCCAAGATTCTGTGGCCGAAAAAGATGTTGGTTACTATTCACTATCCCATCCTTTAATTAATTCTTCATTTTATTGAATCAAGGGCACGATCTTTCAGTCAATATTTAAATATTTACAGGCAAGCATTACAATGATAAAGAAAATAGAAACATGGAATGGTCCACACGAGCAAGACAAACGCAAAAGTCAGCTGATGTGCAAGGAAATATGATGCATTTCAACAAAGCGAGGTTGTATGTTTGAAAAATCAATCCATCAACTCTATTCATTAGAAAACAATCCCTCATTTACCATTGGGCAGCTAATGCAGAGTCTAGGATCAACTAAGTAAATATTTCACCTTTGCAACAAGCAACGATTTGGCTCAGGCAATATTTCAGATACAACAGCACGCATTGCACCGATCCTGCTTCTCCGATCAGATCCTAAGTAAAAAGAAAATGAGATAAGAATTAAAATTTACTCTTAATCATACGGATGTGACCAAAAGCAAGAAATTCGATTAGTATCATTGGCATGAATTAATCACTTGTTTGATTTTTTTTTCCTACGACCCACAGACAACCACAAAAGGCAGAAACTTGTCCATAATAGATTCTTTTCTGATGTACTAAACGACAACTAAAGGTATTCTTCCAACATTCCTTTCAAAGAAAAGGTGACAGGATACCAGAGAATGAACTTACTAAATGCCTCCAAAAGTGCCGTGCAACATGATACAGGAACTGGGGATGATGGCAACTCCCGGAGCACATGCTGGAAAGAAAAGTCAAATGGGAAGCTTCAACATTTTCTTGAAACTGTCGAGAGAATAATTGTCACATGAACCTAAAAAAGTTGAAAGAGCTACCTTTATACAATCACCAATGACATGTGCATCCTCGTTAGGATAGAATTCTTTTTTTCCTAAAAGGTGAAGACATTCAAATGAGGTTATGAAGTTGTAGCAGGTTCCAAAAACATTAAAGGAAATAATTTATGATTTCCTGGCCGTTTTCTGACAATTATCTAAAAAAACTATAAAAAACACTTTTCCAGCATCAGGTTCCTGAAAAACAGAACAAAAAAAAACAAACAAACCTACCCTTCTCATATTCCTGAACACGGTACTCAACCTCTTCCACATCAGCAGACTGCCGCAAGATACCTTCTACTTTGATTCCTGTCCGATTAACAGCAGTGTATCAAATAAAACCTGACTATTAAATAGTCTATATCACTTTTACGTTGGCACTGTACTGAATAAACAAATCAAAAAGAAGAATATTTAAAAATTAATATTCAGAGAGAATTCCAAAGGAAATTCCTATGTTGGTGGAAATATCTTTTATTTAATACACGTACATTAATTTATAAGGAAGAAATTTCGCTTCTCAATACAGCAAGAGATAGGAACTGGAGGTCAGAAATTGAACATTTTCCAGAGCAATCGAACTTAGATAAATTTCCATGACACCAATGACAAGCATTGCAACCACGTCTAATAATTCTGCAAATCAGTAACTTGTACGACAGAAATTATGACGTGAGATCCATATGGGATTTCAAGAATGAAGTATTATTTCTCTCAGGGTTCATCTTTTTACTAGCAGGTAGTGCCATGGTTACTTAAGATTATAACAATCAAAACGGGATGTACAAGCATGCTTTTGATGTCCTCTATAAAAGCTACAACTCTTCTAATGTTCTCTGCAACTAGAAGAGTACCTATATTAAATCATTTCTTTATGCTTAAAATACTCATCCCTAATGTCAGAGAATCCGAAACTCTAGTAAAATGGGTTTATAAATTAGACAATAAATCGAGAAGATTCATTATTTTGCTTGTGGACTAAACCATATGTGTGTCAAGGTGGGTTTGGAAATTGTCCCATGTTCTTGTGGAAGGTTAGTGGTGTTTTGAGGTACCCAGATAATGTACTTTGGGTAGCATGCTAATCACATCTTAAAATATTTTTTTCGTTACCAATGTTATGTGGATATGTGGTACCAATCACTTTCTACAGAGAACATCTCTCTCTCTCTCTCTCTCTCGCGGTGTAGTATTGGCATGAGTTCCAGCTTCATTTATATTGCATCCAATGCAATCATGAGTACCAGAAAACAATACATATTCGGAAATAAAGGTTTTACCATATTGCTCAATAAATCTCAGGGCCTTTTCCAAAAAAGACGGGCTCCCATCAATATCTTCTAAAGCGAGTAAAATTGGTCGCCCAACAATCATAGACTTCGCTGACCTTTTGTCCCTCCCTGAAAAATCATGAATATCATACCTAGAGTGAAACATAAATTCAGGGTTGCATGTATGGGGAAAAAATACGTCTCGTTAGTGAAACATGAGAAAGATGAGCACAGAATGTTACACTGCTCAAAAGAAGTTTCAATTGACTCCATTGCATCATTCCGGAAGATTCCAGTTTGCCCCATCACAAGAGCTGCGCTTGGGGCTTCGGCCAAAGCATTTTCCAGAGCAGTTTTCCATTCATTCATATCTTCCAGAGTTTCAGCCTTGGACCACAAAATTAGATTAACAGAAATCATTAACTTAAGACAGAACAAGGAAACGGATACAAGGATGAAAACCTTAAGAGTAAAAGCCCTCCCATCACGGCCATCAGGAAAGAGTACTGTCAAAAGTTTCTTGTCTGCTCTGACAACCACGCTGTAAAATTATCATCACCATGAGGGACGTTTTCAATTAATCAATGCAAAACAGATGACTGTGATCCATTGAAGGGGTTATTGGCACTTAAGGATGAACATCAATGAGACCAATAAAAATACAGTAACCACCTTCCTGAATTATTGAGGTCAATACCACCAAGCGTGAGGTTCACTTCACCTCCTTTTTGAGATGGAGCATTCTGAAAGCAAATTATGTCTTGTCAACGAAGGCCAAGGCAGGCAAGTAAAAAGAAGAAAAAAAAGGTGCTCCAATTAATATCTGAAAAAAAATCACAATTCTATCTACAGCTGGATATTACTCTTTTACTTGATATAGAGTTATCCCTTTTTATTTATTGTTACATGAAAATAGACCTTATTTGTCAATTCAAATGCTAAGTTGATTCTAGTTCTGCATCCTAGCAAACATCAACAAGCAGTGCTGATAAACTGTGAAAATAAACACATACTTACTGGGTCACTTCTAAAGAAAACCAGAGATGTACGTGTGAGAATAAACCACCTTTTCTTCCAGGACGTCCATCCTATGCCTGCATAAACATAAAATTCAATAAGACACATTTAATGTTGAGACTTCTGTGCAGGAAGCAGCCATCGGAAGGCAGCCCTGGGGTCAGAAATTTATCCAGACAAAATCTGTTTTGTATCGATACTTCAATAAATTAAATACCTGAATTATGAAAATTTGGACTTTAAAGCTACGACTACAATACAAATCGGGTACAGAACATCAATCACTGTTCAGGTAAGAATAAAGCTGCTGATGTACAAAAATAGTATAACACGGAAATCAAAACAAATGCAGCCTGATACAATCCTGTATTGCAACTGAAAGACTGGGAGAAAAATGTAAATCAACAGATCACACATTCTTTAGAGGGCAGTCCTGAACCCTCATAGATACGAAAAGGAGTTTATATAAGCCACACAGAAAGCATTTTTGCGACCTAAATAACGGAAAAAACAATAATATATAACTCGTTCAATGATTGAAAAACCAAAATTTGGAAAAATTAGCCAATAGGGCCTACCATTGCAAGGTGTTGGAGCATAGAAACCCAACCAATATCTGATCTCAGAAATCATTATGTCCGCATCAAAGAAAATGGTCCGAATTGACACAAATGGAATCTCGTATGTTCCCACATACTCAATCATACAGCTAATAGGGGTATTGATTGTCTTTCTAGCTTGCCCATTTTAAAACTTTTCAGGAGCCTGAGAAATTGGATAGTATCTAATAAGCGGGAGAGCCAGATTTTCGCCAAGGATCAGCACCAGGAAATGGCTAGAGTATGAGCCATAACTATTGTCCAACCCCTTACGTTCGATCAGGTGGCATATTTCTCCTAATTAACCGTGTAACAAGAAATCAGTAAAGTCCAGCACACGTGGAAGACTACTAGGCAACGATTTATGTCAAGGATGAAGCTGGGCTAAGTCAATCAGAGCTGGTAAGACCCATTGGAAATACAACGAGGTTTAGGCTGACAATTATATCCAGTCATCACAGGTGGCATATGCCCGGTTTGGGTGGCATGCAGAAGAAAGTGTCAATCAAAATGGGTCAAAGGGACCTGAAGAGGATCTTGGTATAAACACCGATTGGAATAATATTATCCCTCAGATTTGTGACCTCTAATTCTGTAGAAAGAAAACTGCCTCAGTCATGTTGTCTCAAACTTTCAATCAATGGTCTGATTACGTTTTCTGAAACGAACAATGGTCTCTGTGGTTCCACAATGGATTTTCATAAAAAAATAAAAAATATTTGAAAAGATTGGACCAGTGAATAAATGATGATAAGAAATAATCTCATAACCATGGGTATGAAATATTATTTAATCTAAAAAACGCATTACCACCAAAGAATCTTCTAAAAATTTACTAACATGTAAATCAAATCTGAAGCAAAGAATGTAGATATGTCTCACCTTTAGATGATATGAAAAGATGCCCACCTTTGAGTACCTAATAAATTATGAGAAAGATTAAAGCATAAAAAATAATATAACATTTATATGTCAAAGTTAAATTGGAATAAAACAGGCAGCCATCATCATTATGTAAACAAGGACACTGACGCTGAGATCACACGTAATGCCCAATAAGAAGTGACACTTCATCAAGAAGGTAAAATGTCCACCTGGCAATTATGGCACTTTTGCACGTGTTTGTCATGATTGTCAGAATTCCTTGCACCCCAGATATTTGCATCACCCTCTCCTCGACAAAATTTACATTGCATAACACCTTCATTCATGTGTTGCTGTGTTTCCATCTACAAGTTGAACTTTACAAAGATGGCCTCTTTCCAGAGTGAAAGCAATATGGTACTTTTGCAACAGAAAGATGTGCTTCCGTGTGTGTGGACACAGGATACGAGCTTTTGGGTGTCGTACAACAATGGATAGCAGCTATATATGCCTGACCCCAACAGTGAAAGGCTTGCTTGACTGGTATTTACGAAAGTGATGATGTATAGCGTTCTTCCTTGTGAAATAAACAACTGAAAGACATTACCCAAGAAATATTTGCGTTTGCTATCACCAAGAATCCAGTCAAACTCTGATACCTAGAAACATTACATTATATGTAACTTTCAGACCTGAGGATGGAACCATTTCAACATAAGAAATAGGTCGTGTTTTTGCTTGGCGCAGTCATGAGCCCCTATATCCTTCCAAAGTTACAACCCACCATGTAAGCCGCACAGGTAGAGAGCCCTATAAACATAATCATACTCTTTGAAAATGCTGTTTTATTACTGTCTAACTGGCCTTAGCCATCCAGGTTTATGCTTGATCCTGGCAATAGATTGCTCAATTCGGTCAAGGATCGTCACAGAAGCCGCAGGAGAAAAGTATGGGGTAGTTAACAATGTGAAAACCTTGTACTTTCACTGGAGGGCCGAGACCAGATCCACTTTGCACAAAATCCTCCAGATGCTCCAAGGAATCTGTTGAGGAATTATAATTAAACGGCATCATCAATTAGTTATCTTCCTTTCTTCACACACAAAATAGAAACTAACACGAGGCAATTCCCACGGTGTCATTGTTGGAAATTAACGAATCATCTAGAACCGCATATCGAAATTCAATCTCGACGAACGCCATGGCAAGTAAGACATGAACGACTAAGGAAAATACCCGACCGTCGTTGAAAATCCAAAGACTGACCAAAGAAACACGTCACGGAAGCAGAGCGGAAAAAGCCAAAAGAAAAAGCATGCTTGCATGATATACTCCAGGGCTCCACACCATCAGATGATTGCGCATACTTACAACATTGCCATTTTCAAGGAGAAGACGTATAATCAATCTAAAAATCATGCAATTGCGACGACCACAACGAGATAGACGGGGAGGAACCAGCACGGACGACGGACAGAAGGACGAGTGGCACCTCGACGTCTGGATCTGGCGGCCACCAGGATCTAATAGCTCCCCTTCTGCATCTGTATTGCCGGCTGGCCGGCGGGAGAGACGCGGAAGGAGAAGAGAGAGAAATGCAGCATCGCTGCCAATTTTTCTGCCCACATTCCGAACGATCCCCCTCAGTTGGTCGCTCCTCTTTTCTCTCCTCTGCGGGAGGAGAGAGAAACCCGGCCGTTTGGCCTCTCTCACTCTCTCTCCTCCCACTCTCTGTCCGGTTTTGTCTCCCTATGGGGGAGCCATTGACCCCTCCCCCGCGTCCCTCGGGCGCGATCGCGTGGGACCCGCTCCCTCCCCGAGATCTCAGCCGTCCGTAGGGTGCTATAATCATGATGATCTCGGGGTCCACTGGATCCATCCGAAAAGGGACCGTCAGAATATTGTCGCGTCATTGGGCTTCAGAGCGCGAGGGTTCGGTTGGCCACGTGTCGGCTGTCAGTTGGACTCGCTTATCCGGTGGCTCTCGGAAAGAGACTCTTATACCCGTCCGATGGCCGTCCGTTGCGTGTACCACATGATTGGACAGATCGAACGGTCGTAAAAGCTCCATCCGACTTTATTCATTAAAAAAAAACCGTATTTAATAGAACAAAGATCCCGTTTCGAGCATGGTTTTATCATGGGCGGCAACATTTTGACTGGTCAAACGATAGAGGGAGAGCCCACGTTTGAGCGTTGACAGAGGGACGGAATGCCTTCCGGCTTCACCGGGAGGGATCGCCGGAGGGAAAGCTTCGGAGGTTCGCCGCCGAGGAAGCGTGGCTCGTGCTCTGAGAGCTCGAGGAGAAGCCGCCGGCAAGGACGTCGGAGAACTGCACCGACGAGACGCCGGTGCTGGAGAACTCCACGGCATCTGGGTTCTCCCAGAGAAGTTGGAGATACCTCGGAATGGGGGGGAACTCAACATCGATAGCTCTTTCAAGGATCTGGATAATGTGGCCCATCGATGGTCTGAGGGTCTCGTCTTCCTGAGCGCACCAAAAGGCGACTCTCAGAACTCTGGTGAGGTCTTCCATGTCGGCTTCCTCCTCCATCCTCGGGTCCACCAGGCCGAGGAGTTCACCGGAGAGCAGCTTCTTGGCGGCCCACGCGGGGAAGAAGGCGTACTTCTCCTCTCCCTTCTCCTCCGAATTCCTCCTCCCGGAGATAATCTCGAATAGCATCATCCCGAAGCTGTAGACGTCGGCTTTGGCGGTGATGGCCTCCCCAGACATCCACTCCGGTGCGAGATAGCCTCTGGTTCCCCTCACGGTGGTGAGGACGCGGCTGAATTCCCTCCCCACGAGCTTGGCCATGCCGAAGTCTGCCACCTTGGGGATGAACTCGCCGTCTAGGAGGATGTTCTCCGGCTTGATGTCGCAGTGGATGATGCAGTCACGGCACCTCTCATGCAGATAGGCCAGCCCCCTGGCGGTCCCCAGGATTATCTGGTACCTCGTCTTCCACCCCACCGGCGGCGCCGCCTGGCCCCTGAACAGAGCGCGGTCCAGTGAACCTCCGGGCATGTAATCGTAGACCAACAGCCTCCTCGAGCGATGCGAACAGAACCCCCGGAGGCGAACCAGGTTGACGTGCTGGATCGTTCCGATGGTGCAGACCTCCGATCGGAATTCCTTCTCTCCCTGCCTGAGGCCTTCCAGCTTCTTCACGGCCACCTCGGTGGAGTCCCCCATTGTCCCTCTGTACACTGACCCGAACCCTCCTCCTCCGAGCTTGTCGGAGAAGTTCCCCGTCACACGTTTCAGCTCACTGTACCTGAAAACCACCAGCGACCCCTCCACCAGCCTCAAACCACGGAACTTCCTCTGGCGCCAGCGCCAAACCATTGCCAAGGCGAGAGCCACGACGGCCACGGCCCCAGCACTGGTGCCGACAGCGATCTCCACGGTCGCCTTCTTCCCCGACGCCGGCGACGGGAACTCGAGCACCGCCAGGCGGAGGTGGAGGGTCCCCCCGCCTCGGATACTATCGGGGAGCTGCTGCAGATCGAACAGAGCGTCATACCACAGGGAGCATCCCCCGTCGTAGGAATAACCGGTGCAAGAGCAGTTGCCCAAGCACGCGGATTCACACTCCTCGGCGCTGCGGGCCGTCGCCGCCGCCGGCTCCGCCGGCAGCCTCACGTTGGGCATGGTGTAGAACCTGTCCTCGCCACCGCACTTCAGCGGCGTCCTCCTTGCGCAGCCGCTGGTTAGGTCGCCGAGTTCCCAGTCCACCGGCGAGGCCTTTTCGAAGCCCATTGCGCAGGCGCAGTGGGGCATCGTCTTCTCGCTGCAGATGCCGAATGGCCCGCAGAGGCGGTAGACGTCGCACTGCGGTCGCGGCTGCGACCAGAACTGCATCCACTCGCCGGCGCCGGCGATCCAGGTGAGCTGCTTTATCTGGCCGGAGATGTCCACCACGAACCTGGAGATCACGTCGCTGCTAAGCGTGGTGTTGTAGGTGAAGTAGGTCTCCTCCTCGCCGGAGACGAAAGCGAAGTCGTAGATGTAACCGGGGACCATCTCGGGGACGTTGCTGAAGATCCGGCCGTTCCAGGCGCCGCTGGACCAGAACTCGTGGGAGGAGTTCCACAGGATGAAGTATTGGCTGCTGCTTGCGCTAGGGTCGATCTCGAGGGAGAAGATCCCCGGGGCAGGGTCCTCGGAGTTCTTCCATGAGACCAGCCGCTGGACCTCGCCGGTGAGCTTGTTCATCCCCAGCTTGCCGCCTGGGAGCCAGCTGTCCGTCGGGTGGTCGAAGCTCTGCCAGAAGACGTTTCCTGAGTCGAGCCCGTCTCTCAGAATCAGGTTGCCAGTATTCAGAAGCTCCGCCACCGTGGAGTTGGAGGATATGGAGGTGGCGTTGGTGGACCAGACGGGTTGCTTGGCCTCGTCGAGGAGGACCAGGTTGCCGTCGCCGGAGATGGAGAGCTCGGAGGCGGCGGCGCTACGAAGCGGTGCCGCCCTGTTAGCCACCCACACCGGGGTTCTTCGGGAGACCTTCGTGTACCAGATGCCGGCGTAGAATCTACCAGTCTTACCCGGGGAGAAGAAACCCAGCTCGAAGACCCCGCCATGGGAGACCAAGGTGCTGTCGCCGGCGAGGGGTCGGCCGGCGGAGATGGAGCTTGTTGCAGAGCCGGTAGAGGTTTCGAGGGCACCAGAAAAGACGAGGACCAGAAGAGGGACCTGAAGGGACAGCAGCCATAGCCATCCCGAAGGTTTCTTAACCATTAGAAACGCCGCTTGCTGTGCCTGAACTGAGAGCGAGGACGGAGTGCCCGCCGGCGCAGGGCAAGAGAGCAGCACATCAGACAACAGATGGCGGAGGCGGTGGAAGAGGACGCTCTTAAGCCCACTACGGTGACCCGATCGTGCACCACTCCTCCCGCTCCTCCAAACCCCACTGAGGGACAAGAACGCCGAACCCGGCCCTTCCCTCCCCGACGTTTCCTCGGAAGGTTCGCCGATGGGGCCGCTTCATTTATTGACGGCCCACCGAACCCGGCCTTTCCCCCGCCGACGTTTGCTGGATCGAGTCGGTGACTAGCTTCCCCTTCAATGCCGCGACGATGGGAGGGAAGGTAGATGCCAAGTTGCAGCGGGCATTAACTCATAGCAGGCTCTCTCTCTCTCTCTCTCTCTTTAAGAGGGATAGAGGGCTGCGCTTCATTTCAAGACTTGTGACTGAGATATTTTTTTATCTGAGTGAATCTCAAGAGATCGAGGAAAGAAGGAGAGTAGAGACCGAGAAGATGCCACCGAAGTTGCAGCCAATGTGTTGTTATTGAGATGAGCCATCCTCAAGGTTCAGAAGAATGAAGGAGTTTTTCCTCATAAGCAACACATGTAGAAGAGCCGAATGGCTCGTAAGGTGCTTTGCCACTTATGCAACATGAGCTCTATGAGGGCACATGAAATAGTTTGCTTTATTTAGGTTAGATATTAAGAACTTGTGCAATGAGGATATTTTTTTTTCAATTTCATGTTAGTGTCGTAGAAATGGACATGGGGGGATATATGCCGCTAGGGAGAAAAAGATGTCTAATCAATTATGGCAATGGTTGAAGCCTTATTATACTACAAAACTATTAGTACTCCCCTAAGTTTGACACTAATACCTAATAGAAGGAGGTTGGAGGATAAAAATCGTAAAGGGTGGCCATAAGAACAGTCATGCAGTAGATCATAGTAAGATCACAATGGAGATTATAGTGGCAAGTAGACCCATCAAACAAGTGATCGAGAGAAGTAGGGTGACAAAGGGCAATAGGGCTTATGTCAATGGCAACTATCAGTGGTTACATTTCTCACAAAGAGGGGTGATTTGGTAAAAGGCTGTAAACTTAAATATTTTTTTGAAAGATATTCACCTTTGGTTAATTGATTTAGTCATTTATTTACCCTAATATGTTCTCACTTGAGAAAACTCAATTAGTTTGTTTACACTTTTACCTTGATCAACACAATTGATTATATGAGTGGTTTGCTTAAACACCTACATCAACTTCTCAAGGTTTCAGCCTTGTGTTACACTATGATATGATATTAACATAAAGCTGCATGTTAAAACTGTACAGCTTCAATATTCTCTAAGATTATATTAGATACAAACATCATCACTAGTATGAAAAAAAAGGTTCCCATACTCTTCTAACTCACCTTGGATGACTTAGTGAGCCAACGTGAGGAGGATTTGAGGCCTCCAATTATCCTTTGACTCTACTAGTTACATAATGGCTCAAATTCACTAGAAATCAAGGATTTTAGCTATTGCCATTGAACCTATGGTGTCAATTACTTGTGCAAGGATGTAGTCACAAACATTTGATGCTCCCTTGATGATGTTTGAGGCCTCAGCTAACTTAGAATGAGGATGACCCAGATATGACTCATCCTTGTGAGACATGTTGGAACAATAGGATTAAGTGAAACCGTAAGGGGGGGTGGGGGTAAATCAGAATATTTATATTTTTCTTTAATTTTTTGTATTTAAGTTATTAAACTTATCTATATGTGTTAAGGAGTGTGATGAGACACATGTATTATGAGAAGACCTCTCAATACTTTTTTACAAAGAACACTAGGTTTTTAAAATTGGTTTGCCCCTCACTTGACTACTTCCAGTCCCAAAGGTAACTTCCCTCCAATATGCACTTATTCCCCTCAGGAAATACACATTGAAATTCATGAGATCAGTCAAACAACTCAAGTTCATCTCCTCAAAGATGCAACCCTTCTTGGCTCAAATGTTGATACTAGTACCTTGTGCCGTCACTCAAAACACTCTCCCCTTACCACCCAATTACTTTATGGTCTGATAGAGAGTAAAGGTTGTGATGATTTAGTTGATTGTTCACTAGAATCACTTGACGAAGAGGATTCAATGTTATTGCGCATTGTTGATGTGTGCAATAGAAAGAGCTTTATTGTGAGCATTGAACCTTCATGTGTTCAATCAATTTTTAATCCAAAGCTCTTCTTCTATAAGTAAGCTTTAATTTTGTATTGGTTTTCCTATTTTATTGACTCTAAAACATTAGAAATCTCTATTCAAAAACTTGTCATTTTCTAGAATATGCAATAGCAATGTTTGAATCTTCTAATATTTGAATCTCCCTATCCTTGTGGTCATTTTTTATTAAATTTGAACTAAAGATTCTTAACTTGATGTTTGATATCCACCTTAGATCCAAATCATCAAGTTGACCTTCACCTTTTGCCCATGTAAGTAAGCTGATGATGGATACAATCAATGGAAAATGGGGATGGGTGGATGACCAAGTTTGAGTAGAATTCTGAATAAAATCCTTAAAAATTGATTGTTTCTTCAATTCATTCACCTGTCACTTGGATAAATCAAAGTAATGAATTCAAAATGATGTAAAGATCAAATTTGTATAAAAAATAACATGAGAAATTGATGGAAAACCTGAAGATCCCCATTGTATGCCACTTGGCAGAAAGAGAAAGAAAAGAGCTCCCTTTCTGCCTTCAATGAGAAGTTTTTATATGTCCATTAGATCTAATCCCTTAGAGGGAGTGAGGAATCAACTTGCTAAAAAAATATTTTATTTTTAGTAAGAATGGAATAAAATTAATTTTATCTTTTGGAGAGGGGCTGAGTTGTTGATAACTTCAAACTTGAAAATCAGTATAGTATAGTTCTAAAGCGCTATTGAGGGTTAGAATCCCTCTATCTCCTTTTTCTTGCCGAATGTTGCTTTATTTGACTAATATGCTGTTGTAAACTGTAATGGATCAGCTAGATGGGATTTTCTGTCTGTTTTTCTACCAATTTTTCGTCAGTTTCTAGCTTTTTCTAGACATTTTCACCTATTTCAGCCCATTTCGAGAATCATTTTTTTATTTAAATAAACCTATAAAATGGGCCTTAATGGGCTTCCTTAACACTCTCATAGTTTCTCATAAATAAACGCATATTTAGAAAATATATTTTTAAATCATTAGAAATAAAAAAATATATTTTTATCTAATAAAATTAATTGTACTGATTAAATTCCTATTTTGGTCTTAATGTTAAGTAAAGTATTAACTTATAATCAAGGAATATTCAAAATATAAGCATTCTATAAAAGTATGTAAAAACGTTAAGCATGTGTTTGATGCAATTATCTAAACTACACTTTCAATTTTCATTAAATCAATATCATTTAACATGAATTAATGCACCAAATATGCTAATTATGCATTTCTTACCACATAAAAATGTGTTATCAATGTGGCAATTCATTTCTCTTTTTATGAGGGTCTAGATAGTACCTTAGTGAAGGTCAATGCACTTTATTAGCTACTTGACACACTTTTCATTTCATTTGATATTTCTTCAAAAATAAATTCCCTTGTTTTAGACTGACTTGACTTGATGTTCATATAAATTTTGACATTTTATTTCCTCATTTGAGCCCTACACAATATATTTCTACAACAACAACAATAAAAGATTTAGCTCTTCAATTAATGATTAGTATATACTTCATAAAATTCTAATATAATCATAACATACTAATTTATTCTATATATTAAGCATTCAAACTCCCAAAGTATAATCATTACTTGTCTCCTCCAATGCTACAACTTTGATTTGAGAGAAATTTACTTTGACAAATCTATGCCATTTAGTATTTAGAATGATAAACACCTATCCCCAACTCCGATCATTCTTCACATGATTTCCCTATAATTCACTCCAATTAACACATTATTTTCATGATAAAAAAGATTCCTATAGCATTGTTGGAGTATTTTTATTGGTGGAGCTTAGAATGTTCTTCATTTTTGTTCGGTGATAGCCAAAAGAGGGAGAAGAATAATTGGTCTTGAAAATAAAAAGCTGTGCATGTCAAAAGAAGCTAAGAAAATTTAAAAATAAAGAAATCATTGATGTTTGATTTATGTCCACATTTGGATTAAGAAAAGGGGACATTGAATTGATTTGATTCTAATATGAGATTAGGCTTTGCTCTTTTTGATTGTGTCAATGTTGTCCTCAAAATCTCAAGTCTTATACTAGATTAATGAGCATAGATTAAGAGATTTTAAAGTAATTTGGTCTGCTCTCAACACCCACATTCAAAGAATAATACTTCTTAGATTTCATTAAAATTGATTCTCTAATAAAAATTGCTAATTACTAGGTTCAGCTCTCATAGATTCTCCTGGAAATTCTTTTCCAGATTGACTATTTTTAGGTTCTCAAAAATTGATTATTTACAGGTTAGATTTCAAAATGTGATTAAGTAGATATTTAACCACAAATTTATCCTAAAAAAATAGAAAAGATTTCACTAAAAATTGTTTTTAGAAGACTTTGTTAACTTTGTTGTTTGATGACAAAATACTCAAAATTTGAGAGATTATTAAATTTTTCAATATTGCTCATCAACTTAATCCCTACACACAATTTGACAATCTAGTAAATACCCCATGATTTCACTCTAGATTTTTTAATGGAAGAACTCAATGGAAAACTTTAAGTTGTACAATAGATAAAGATGATTTTTTTTCTACTCACTAGCCATTAAAAAGGTGTGGTATTATAAGTAAATCATTTATAAAAATCATTCTAAATTTCTACAATCTCATAATGTCTATTTTTCTTAAAATGGCTAAGAGACAAATACAATATGTCTATTATGGCTCAAATATCTTTAAGAGAAATTAATATGATTTTTCCTTTAAGACATAACATCCAAGAGATAAGGTCTCATTAAAATAGTTATTTAGACATCACAACTAATCTAAATCACCTCGAAAAAGGTGCAAGGGATAGGTAGATATTTTGAAGCACAATCTCAATATATAAAATCATAACTTTGCTGAGTTTAAATAATTAAAATTGAATTCCAAACAATGTCATTAATATTCAAAAAAATATGTAAAAAAATTAACTATACAACTTCAATCAATTAATTCAATGTTGAATTCATTGATATGAATACTTGGATATTAGTGAGTTGAGTGATTCTTGTCGCTTTGCATATCTTAGTCACTTTACTTAAACTATTGCATTTTATATAAATTTTGATAAGTTTCACAACAATATGTACGATAATAATTACATATGAGGCAATCAATCTAATAAATGAATTTAGCTTCATAGGTCGTAAGTATACTTTTTTGAATTCTTCTCTAGCCATAATTTTTTTTTTATTATATCTTAACACTTCCATGTTTGGCCTTATATGAAACATATTTGAAACTGGACATATTATTTATCATCATCATAACATCATGTGTTTAATCCTCAAATAATGGAGAAAAAGGAGAATAGAAAATCCTTGTAAAAATCCTTGTAGGTTTTTAATCATTGGCATTTTAAAAATGATTATAAATACATCTCAAATGTACAAATTTTAATCTTTGTACTTTGACTATTATTTTTTGTGTCTTGGACATTATGTTTGTCTGAGTTCTCTGATCTTTACATTAAAAAGATTGTGACAATTACTTCACATACCATAAATTAAATAAAATTAATTATATTTATTCATAAACAATAATTTATAACTATAAAAATAGTTTTTCAAAATTATTAAAAGAAATTAAAGAAAGCTATTGTGTAAATTGTGAATATAGTATATTTTTTTAAAATTAATTTGATGTGAAAATAAATCTTATAATTCCAAAAGTTATTTTTATTACTAAATTGAGAACTACAATCAGAATTGACTAATATTTGTGGCTTATTATTCTAGTTTTCTCATCACCAAAAAGTGGCAGGTTGTTAGAAAATGGGTTAAATAATATTTTAATGATAACTTATACATAGGAAGGATAAATGAATTGATTTTTTTGGTTATTTAATATATATGAATATAAATAAATATTTTTTAAAATATGCGTGTGAAATTAATTATGAATAAATCCACAGAATAGAAAGTTAAACTATTAAATACTGACATGAAAATTAAAGGAATATACATTATTCTCATAGTATATAATATTCGAATTTAGACAGTTTTACAACTCAAAGGTGCTACTTTACTTATCATTGTGAGAAGTGTTAGTATTTATAGAAACTATCACATCAAGAAAAAAATGACAATCAAAACAAAATTAATGAGATTGTTGAAGTAAAATATTGTAATGAAAGCTTATATAGTCTATTAGATTTCATAATTCTAAAATATTGGTTTTGATTATTCTTAATGTTGAATTAATAAATTGAATCTGAACTATTTAAAGGGCCACATAAGA